CACCCTCGTACAAGTACAACTATACTGCTCATCTACACCCTCGTACAAGTGCAACTAGACTGCTCATCTACACCCTCGTACAAGTGCAACTAGACTGCTCATCTACACCCTCGTACAAGTGCAACTAGACTGCTCATCTACACCCTCGTACGAGTGCAACTAGACTGCTCATCTACACCCTCGTACGAGTGCAACTAGACTGCTCATCTACACCCTCGTACAAGTGCAACTACACTGCTCATCTACACCCTCGTACAAGTGCAACTAGACTGCTCATCTACACCCTCGTACAAGTGCAACTAGACTGCTCATCTACACCCTCGTACGAGTGCAACTAGACTGCTCATCTACACCCTCGTACAAGTGCAACTAGACTGCTCATCTACACCCTCGTACTAGTGCAACTAGACTGCTCATCTACACCCTCGTACAAGTGCAACTAGACTGCTCATCTACACAGTACGAGTGCAACTAGACTGCTCATCTACACCCTCGTACAAGTGCAACTAGATTGCTCATCTACACCCTCGTACGAGACCAACTAGACTGCTCATCTACACCCTCGTACAAGTGCAACTAGACTGCTCATCTACACCCTCGCACAAGTGCAACTAGACTGCTCATCTACACCCTCGTACAAGTACAACTAGACTGCTCATCTACACCCACGTACAAGTGCAACTAGACTGCTCATCTACACCCTCGCACAAGTGCAACTAGACTGCTCATCTACACCCTCGTACAAGTGCAACTAGACTGCTCATCTACACCCTCGTACGAGTGCAACTAGACTGCTCATCTACACCCTCGTACAAGTGCAACTAGACTGCTCATCTACACCCTCGTACAAGTGCAACTAGATTGCTCATCTACACCCTCGTACGAGTGCAACTAGACTGCTCATCTACACCCTCGTACAAGTGCAACTAGACTGCTCATCTACACCCTCGTACAAGTGCAACTAGACTGCTCATCTACACCCTCGTACAAGTGCAACTAGACTGCTCATCTACACCCTCGTACAAGTACAACTAGACTGCTCATCTACACCCTCGTACAAGTGCAGCTAGACTGCTCATCTACACCCTCGTACAAGTGCAGCTAGACTGCTCATCTACACCCTCGTACAAGTGCAGCTAGACTGCTCGTCTACACCCTCGTACAAGTGCAACTAGACTGCTCGTCTACACCCTCGTACAAGTGCAACTAGACTGCTCGTCTACACCCTCGTACAAGTGCAACTATACTGCTCATCTACACAGTACTACTTCTTCCAGATGCCATTGACCTTCTGGTCACTAGAGCAGCCTCACACCCCCCCCCCCCCTCACACACACAAGCATCCACACTCGCGTGGGATGCACGCTAACACTACCCCCCACTATAAAAAACATTGAAGTAATTATTTTAAGAACTCTCCAACCGAATACGATCGTCACATCTCTCCCGCCCACGCTCTGAATATTTAAAGCCTCTAAAAAAATGTCCCGGTTAACGTTCCCCGTCGTCCGGTCTGATCTGGTCGGCTGGGCTCAAATTTCTGCTGACCTGGGCTCAGGCAACACCGCATCGTCGAGAACATTCTCTAAGACTCGCCACCTCCATGGGGAGCTTTAATTCAAAGGTCAGACGATGAATAAACAACTAGCTACGGGGACGGGACATCGGCCCTGTGGTATGGGGGGGGGGGGGGGGGATAACGGCCCGATGGTTTGAACAAACAAGACACCAGCGGTGCTGTCGGCGACAATCTTTATTCAAATAAGTCGCTTTGGGATACTTTGACGATATGACGTCATCGGAACATTGCGTCACAAAGTTCATAACGTAAAATAACTGTAATGTTATGATAGACTCTGGTTAAGTTTTTAATCAAATGTTTTTTTTACGAATGGCTGGTGGCAACTCTAGGTCCCAATGGTAGTTTGGTTTGTTTTTTATATACGCGTTTGTAACTTCCTTTAAAATGCTGATTGTTGTTCTCGCAGACCAACTAGTTTACCGTCGAAGATAATGGCCTGATTTTTTTAAACAGACCACGTGGGATGACTCACTGGATTTTCCCGCTAAATACGTCATCAAAGGTAACTTCATTGTTTGGTGCACGTGGGTGGGTAATGTTGTTACCATAAGTACCGGCAGTATTGGGTGGGCTCCCTGGGTAGGGGGAAGGTAGGGGGGGGGGTAGGCCCGTACTGTCATGACGGGGTGTGACCTCGGGGTAGGGGGGGGGGGGGATTAGAGGTAGGCACGTACTGTCATGACGGGGTGTGACCTCTGGGTAGAAAGGGGGGGGGGTGGTAGGCACGTACTGTCATGACGGGGTGTGACCTCGGGGTAGAAAGGGGGGGGGGGGGGGGGGGTAGGCACGTACTGTCATGACGGGGTGTGACCTCGGGGTAGAAAGGGGGGGGGGGTGGTAGGCACGTACTGTCATGACGGGGTGTGACCACGGGTTAGGGGGGGGGGTGAGGTAGGCACGTACTGTCATGACGGGGTGTGATCTCGGGGTAGGGGGGGTGAGGTAGGCACGTACTGCCATGACGGGGTGTGATCTCGGGGTAGGGGGGGGGGGGTGAGGTAGGCACGTACTGTCATGACGGGGTGTGACCACGGGTTAGGGGGGGGGGGTGAGGTAGGCACGTACTGTCATGACGGGGTGTGACCACGGGTTAGGGGGGGGGTGAGGTAGGCACGTACTGTCATGACGGGGTGTGACCACGGGTTAGGGGGGGGGTGAGGTAGGCACGTACTGTCATGACGGGGTGTGACCACGGGTTGGGGGGGGTGAGGTAGACACGTACTGTCATCAGCCTGGAGCCTCACCACCACTGTGTATCTGGTTTGATTGTTGTAAAACAGACGTGTTTTAGAGAAATGTCAGCTCACAAGAAGACGTCACGTAAATATTAACTCTAAAATATTAGTTAGTGCCGACTTCATAACAGATACAAAGGTTACAAAGTAAAATGTACCGAAGCGAACATATTTTATACACTGCTATAAAATGTCGTTATGTCCCTATCAATTGTAAATGAAACACACAATAGTAAACTGAGAACGAATACTTTGTCTTTTTCTATTCTTGTTAATTAAAACATAATAAGTTATTTCTGGAGCCTTCTGGGACATGCTAATAAATACCGAACACTACACAAGTATAAATTGTATGACTAAAGTACCGTCTCATGCCCACAACCACAAGTTGATGTATGGAGTTATCCCCCATCACTGAGTACAAGCGAATTACTTCCCATGAAGAGTTACCTAAAAACAAGTTCATTCTATTATTAAGTAGGTCAGCAACTCTCTCTTGTTTTCGTCTTTTGACGGGTCTGTGTATTCTCTAGTGGGCGCTTCACTCCAAAAGTGCCGTGTTTCAATGTCCACAAAATCAGCTATGTTCATAGTTACCAGATGATATCTGACGCTAGGAGAATATTCAGTATTTTAGCTTATTTGTTTTTAAACAAACAGATTTTATGTAATTTTAGGAAGTTTTTTGGCCGAGTTACCGACCCTGGTATTAATGTGCATTAAATTCCTATTATTTACTTAAGGGTGTTCTAATATTACATACAAGTTGGTTACCTACAAGATGGGTAACTAATCGACGGCAATGACGTCAGTATATTTAACAAGTGTTACAACTATGATATGGATGTTAGCAGGAGGACTACACTTGTTTTTATCAGGTGTAGCTTCAATATGTTAAACCGTATAGCTTCAGAATGACTTGTGTACTGATCTATGTACTGATCTATGTGCATGGCCAATAAAGCGACAATTGTTTGACAATAGTAGTGACAGTTGTTTGGCCACTTAAGGTTTTTGTGGACAATTAGTGGTAGTCGAATACTAAAACTAGAAAAATTGTAGCAGAGTATGACCAGTCTAGCCTTGAAAAAAAAATTAAATCGGCCTACTCCAATTTTAAACAAACCCAATAGAAGTAAAGTTATCTAAACTTGTTTTTAAAAATTCTGGTTGACCTACAAATGTTACACACCAGCACAACGTTACACGTAGAATTGTTACACGGCCACTAAAATGACTTGCTAAAACCCAATCTCTTAAACCAGGCCAAGGGTCAAGGTCTCGGACCAGTTAGGTCGAGAATGTAACATTTCTTCTGACAACGTTGACTCTAATCTTTCCCACCTGACCTCTCGCTCTCGCCCACGCGCGCGAGAGAGTTCGAGAATTGAACGAGATGTTCCGATAGCTGCAAACAATTGCGTTGAATGTTAATCTCCCGACAATGGAGACGTGTAAAGAGATGACAAGAAACCAGAACTGCTTCAAGCTGCACCCGATGAAACTAAATCTCGAAAGTAATAAACCCAAACGATATTGATTTAATTCCGCAAAATAAATCTTATTTCAAACGAATCTGAAACCAATTTATGAGATGTTTTTACGAGAGAATATCATCAGTTTTAGAAAACGATCAACTGTGCTCACACATTTTTTATGTTAAACCACCTGTCATTTCGTCACGATTCTAGCTCGTATTTCTAGCTAAGGTGAGAGTTAGCACGCACATGATGGGCCTCTGGCTAAGGTGAGAGTTGACCACAACACGTTCGGCCTCTGGCTAAGGTGAGAGTTGGTCAGTCACAGACGTACACAACCAAACCACGGACGTACGGACGTACCTGACATACACAACCAAACCACGGACGTACCTGATATACACAACCAAACCACGGACGTACTGACATACACAACCAAACCACGGACGTACGGACATACACAACCAAACCACGGACGTACAGACATACACAACCAAACCACGGACGTACTGACATACACAACCAAACCACGGACGTACTGACATACACAACCAAACCACGGACGTACTGACAAACACAACCAAACCACGGACGTACGGACGTACTGACATACACAACCAAACGACGGACGTACGGACGTACACAACCAAACCACGGACACAAGCTTTCACAAACAGTGTATATTAATGAAAACAGTTCACTCAATGATAGTCAAGTGTTTATTACATTATAAAATTTAATTAGATAATTATAGCTAGCAAACTTTTTGTTGGTTTACACAGGCGGGGGCGTCTAGTGGTTCGCAGATGCCTGGGGATAAACACAATGGGAGGCGTTAACGTCAATCTTCTGCATGTATTTATAGATCTACAGTTTCAATTTTATAAAACTGGAGACTTAGCTGTATTGCTAATGCCTAATTCTTAATATACTTGAGGTTTTCTCTATTTAGAAATAATATAATGGTCTCCTGATATATATCAGAGTGCGAAAGGAAACAGACCGAACTACTCTGTTTCATCTACCCAAAATCAACACTCCCCCACCCCAAATGACACTCCTGTATCCACGAAGTACATCCCCCGTCCCTGATCACCCCAAACAATACTCCCCCACCCCTAACAACAGCTCCCCCACCCCAAACAACTGTCCCTCACCCAACACAACACTCCCCACCCCTAACAGCAATCCCGTATCCTAAACAACACTTCCCTCACCCCAACCAAATGTACCCCCCCCCCACCCTCACCTTTTATCACCCACAACCACCAGAACCACGAATTGAAACCACAAATGGAACCACAAATAGAACAACAAATAGAACCACAAATAGAAACACAAATAGAACCACAAATAGAACCACAAATAGAACCACAAATAGAACCACAAATAGAACCACAAATAGAACCACAAATAGAACCACAAATAGAACCACAAATAGAACCACAAATAGAACCACAAATAGAACCACAAATAGAACCACGAATAGAACCACAAATAGAACCACAAATAGAACCACAAATAGAACCACGCATAGAACCACAAATAGAACCACAAATAGAACCATAAATAGAACCACAAATAGAACCACAAATAGAACCACAAATAGAACAACAAATGTAACCACAAATAGAACCACAAATAGAACCACAAATAGAACCACAAATAGAACCACAAATGGAACCACAAATAGAACCACAAATAGAACCACAAATAGAACCACAAATAGAACCACAAATGGAACCACAAATAGAACCACAAATAGAACCACAAATGGAACCACAAATAGAACCACAAATACAACCACAAATAGAACCACAAATAGAACCACAAATAGAACCACAAATACAACCACAAATAGAACCACAAATAGAACACAAATGGAACCACAAATAGAACCACAAATAGAACACAAATGGAACCATAAATAGAACCACAAATGGAACCACAAATAGAACCACAAATAGAACCACAAATAGAACCACAAATAGAACCACAAATAGAACCACAAATAGAACCACAAATAGAACCACAAATAGAACCACAAATAGAACACAAATGGAACCACAAATAGAACCACAAATAGAACACAAATGGAACCACAAATAGAACCACAAATAGAACCACAAATAGAACCACAAATAGAACCACAAATAGAACCACAAATAGAACCACAAATAGAACCACAAATAGAACCACAAATAGAACCACAAATAGAACCACCAATGGATGCTTCTCACCTGGGTGGCCTGTGGGGGCAGACACCTTGAAACCGTTGGAGGGGGTCCAGGCACAGGTGGGGTCGCCCAGCTCCTCTCCGTTAGACTTGCCGTCTTGATCAGAGTCGAGGTTGCACAGTTTCACGGTCCATTGGAAGCCTTCAGTCAGGAAGTCCTGTGATATGGGTCAAGATGGTGAGTAATGGAGAAGGGGCTTACTGCCACGGTGAGTAATGGAGAAGGGGCTTACTGCCATGGTGAGTAATGGAGAAGGTGCATAAATACTGATATGGGTGAGTAATGGAGAAGGGACTTACTGCCATGGGTGAGTAATGGAGTAGGTGCATAAATACTAGCATGGGTCAATGTGTTATGATCTCTTTCAAGCATTCGTTAACTGGGCGGACGTGTTTATACATTTATAGGAAACACTGCGGCAATTTAACATATAAGAATTATTTTTTTCGTTACTTTTTTAATCATGTAATTATATGTAGTTATGTAATACCCTCTGACTTTTTACTAAAGAATTCACATAAAAGGTTGTTTTTTTTTAAATATCAAACACCCACAACTTAAGACACACCACACCAAACACCCACAACTTAAGATCTACTCACCACACCAAAGGGGTTAGCGGGACCACCACCTGACTCGTTAAAGTGACCGGCCGCTGTCCAGTTGCCGCCCTCGGGGCAGGGGTTGGGCACAGCGTAGCCGTTAGGGAAACGGTCTCTGAAGCTGGGGAAGCCAAATATGGCCGTGGCCAGAGCAGCAACAATCACAATCTTCAGCATCCTGGCTGTATCTGTTCAATGGGTGGATACAACATACGTCTTGAAAACTACGCATAATGCACTAACTAAGCATAATTCACGTATACAGTGTTTGAAGTTTCCCTGCCAAACCTAACCGTCTATGGGGCAAGTAGAGTTCACCTGTTTCCGTGACCATGGCATATGAAGGGATAATGTGGTCAGCACTATGCCCAGCTGCCTTTACTTTCCCTAACGTAAGTTAGGTACCTATCAGAGCTGGATGGACTCAGGGACGGTCTACTGACTTGAACCCGGATTCGAACTCTAGACTTACGGGTTAGTAGTCTGGCTCCGTCCCTTTATACAGTGTTTAATGGTTTGAAATGATTGAGGTGAATAATTGTTAAAAAAAAGGTTAATTGAAACGTAATCCAGGGGACGCTCTAAATGAAAAGAGAAAACAAACTATTTTTACTTACGATTCTATTTGTTCAACAAAACGAATACGGAAAAGTCTTTAGACTTGCTTTATATACGTGGATACTAGTTAGTCATACTTTGGGACAGTTTAGTTTTGTTTTTTAAATGTGTGGTTTAATGTGTAACATGACAGATGGTGGGTTCTCTTGCCATGTGATTACGTCACAGTGTCATGTGATTACGTCATACAGTCCATCCGTGAGTGACCGCAGCTGTTTGACTCAATAATTCCTGACTAGACCCTGGGCAATTGGAATCATGTCTAGGTGGTGTAGAGTTCATGTCTGCCGGTACTGTTTTAGACAAAGGTTTTGGGCTTTTTTTCTAATCCGTAGGGTATAGTGTGAGATCTTATACACAGCTGAAACATGGTACCCCTTAACCATATGCTATAAGTTACATGCGTGTAAAGAAGTCAGTCAAGATTTTCTTCGGGAAAACCAACGTGTTTAGGTGTTTGTAATATGATAGAGACGACAGTTATAAAACAGATTGTAAGAACATACTTAAATATCTTATGTTACGGGGTGGTTAAATGATAGAGCCTATGATTGCTATTCGAAGGTCACGGGTTCGGATCTCGGTTTGGACTTGACTCCACCCAGGGAAAGTAAAGGCGGCTAGGCATACTACTGACCACACCATACCTGTATATGCCAAGGTCAAAAAACATGAACTCTACTTCATCTGCCTAATGGATCTCTAGGTCTAAAGAGGAATCTTTACCTTTTTTTCCTAACAGATAATAGATACTTGCTACGTCATCCAGTTTAAAGCGTGCTACTCCTAGTTTTTTATTCAACTTTTAAAATTTAAATTTTTTGTCCCAAATTAATCAGGAGAAACGAGTTTTCCAAAAAGGACGGCCCTTAACCCCGGCAGATAAGTAACGTTAATAGAGTCAGGGGACGGGGAGTGTTAGTCTTGTACTGGAAGAACCTTGACACGAAGCTGTCTCACCAACAGATGGCCAGTGGCCTGGTCTGGAAACATCGTCTGATCCTTTACATTAAGCAGACGTCAACTAATGCATGCAAGGTTTGGTTCCTTTAAACGTGGAACATTTGCCTATTGAAAGATTTTGTTTCTTTAGATAGTAGGGCATTGGCTATTGAAAGAATAAATTAAAATCGGCTTGGCTGTAGTAAAAATCTAGGTCACTTAGACATGCGCAGGCTGTGGGTTAACATTGTAGCAGTCAAACAACGCGATGCACAGAATCAAACATGTTTAGGCTAATATTTTATGGGAAGGTAACTGATACGTTGCAGCCCTGCATCGGTATGCATTTAAGGGTTAAGTGGAATGTTGGCTATTGAAAGATTTCTGTTCTTCGAAAAGTGCTACGTTGACTGCTTCACAGAAATCAGCAAAGATCAAAAAGTTCTGAGAAAGAAGAAAACTACTGTTTACAATTAGTTTCTGCTTAGTGATGGCCAAAGGAAATATCTTGTAAATACTGATCGTAGTGTAAATCTTGGTGTAAATAATGAGACCATTTAATGTAAATCTTGGTGTAAATACTGAGATCATTTAATGTAAATCTTGGTGTAAATAATGAGACCATTTAATGTAAATCTTGATATAAATACTGAAACCATTTAATGTAAATCTTGGTGTAAATAATGAGACCATTTAATGTAAATCTTGGTGTAAATACTGAGACCATTTAATGTAAATCTTGATGTAAATACTGATACCATTTGATGTAAATCTTGATGTAAGTACGGAGACCAGTTGTCTCCGACCCCTGAACAAAGTCATGGCACGGAGATAAGGGCGACCACCGCACTGAGAACACGGGACAGCTGCGTGTACGTAAGGTGTGGTTGGCTGGTTGTGATGGTGGTTATGGTGGCTGGTTGTGATAGTGGTTGAGATGGTCGTTGTGGTGGTTGTTGTGATGGTTGTTGTGATGGTTGTTGTAATGCTTTCTGTGATGGTTGCTGTGGTGTTTTCACGTCTGTTGCTATGTTTGATCTAATTGTTGGCTCTATTGTGTTTTTTATCGTCGTTGTCAGGCTTGTAGTTTTGTTTCCTGGAAGTACGTAGTTTCACAAAAATTAAAATTCTAATCAACTAAAAAATGACGTGACTCATATTTTCTTTCATCTATTGAACTGGCCTATAAATAAAAAATTGTATGTAGTCTTATAGACGTCTTTATCTGCGTAGTTCATCATAAAATACTGAATCGAATCCTAGTTGCACTAACCACAATTTACTTTTTTTACAACAGATTGAACTCTGTCAACTGCCACACAGACAAAAATGTGTCTGTACTTTTTCTGACCCCATCGAATATTATCTCTGCACACCTTAATCAATTAACCTACTTGGCTTACACTCGTCCAACACACATGGCCTTACACACATGGCCTACACACATGGCCTACACACGTCCAACACACGTCCAACACACATGGCCTACACACATGGCCTACACACGTCCAACACACGTCCAACACACATGGCCTACACACGTCCAACACACATGGCCTACACACGTCCAACACACGTCCAACACACATGGCCTACACACGTCCAACACACGTCCAACACACATGGCCTACACACATGGCCTACACACGTCCAACACACGTCCAACACACATGGCCTACACACGTCCAACACACGTCCAACACACATGGCCTACACACATGGCCTACACACGTCCAACACACGTCCAACACACGTCTAACAAACGTCCAACACACGTCCAAATCACATACCCTACACACATGGCCTACACACGTCCAACACACGTGCCATACACACGTCCAACACACATTGCCTAAACACGTCCAACACACATACCCTACACACGTCCAACACACATGGCCTACACACGTCCAACACACGTCCAACACACATGGCCTACACACGTCCAACACACACGTCCAACACACGTCCAACACACATGGCCTACACACGTCCAACACACACGTCCAACACACGTCCAACACACATACCCTATACACGTCCAACACACATACCCTATACACGTCCATCACACATGACCTACACAAGTCCAACACACATACCCTACACACGTCCAACACACACACCCTATACACGTCCATCACACATGACCTACACAAGTCCAACACACATACCCTATACACGTCCAACAGACTAAATATTTTCTTCTATCTTCTCTAAATTATTTGATACTACTTTCAAAATGTTTCATTAAACTGACAAAAACAACAGATATTCACATCTGTAATTATATTCACAGTAAAAAATGATTACATATAACGTATATGTGTGCTATATGTGCTTGGAAAATCTTTCAGGAGTTTTAAGGAAGAAAAGTAAGTCCTATAATCAGATGGTTTGCTCTCCTTATCTTTTATATACAGCTCAGCACTTAAGCGGGTTGTTTTTTTTTTATCAATCTCACACACCTAAAGTGACCTTTTTTAAAATTTGCAGAAAAACCAAAAATTGGTTAAGTTTTCAACACAACCTGACGTCTAGTGAGGAAAGTTAAACCGATATTAGCGGATACTTCACAGTCAGTCAAATGTTAAAGTGTATACAGATTTCAAAAATGCAAAATAAGTTTTAATAAAAAGCTTTTATGTAATAATGTACTAAGAAGGAGAAAATTAATGATTTTCTTTAAATATATAATAATACACTACTATTTAAATAAATATAAAGAAAAGCGTGGGTCACTATTTTATCTGTTAGATACATTTACTAACATTAGAAAGAGACCAACGCTTTTCTTTATAAGTATTTCAATAATAGTGTATTATCATATATTTAAAGAAAATCAATTTATTTTCTTCTTTTTAGTGCATTATTACTTAAACACTTATTATTAAAACGTTTTTATGCATTTTTTTCATTACTTTAAAAGTTTTAATACAATGGAGTTTCATGACTTAAAACTATTGAGCACCGAATGAACATTATAATGAGCATATAATTTTGCGGAATAGTAGTAGAACAGCCTACTAATTTAATAAAATATTAATTAATTCATAAAAAAATTAATTAAGCATCCAATTAAGTAAACTGTGATGTCAGATTGCATTCTCGTCGTGTGTTGACTCACGATCCAAGTTTGAAACGGATCGGTCAGTTAGAAGTGGTCGAAATTTCGCTCGCCCGTTTCGGACAACTTACAGAGGAATCAAGTTAAATAAAGCTTGTAATAAGCACCAATGTTTAATGACTTAAAGTATCAGGTAAATTATTTTTAAAATCCCTGTGTTAAACTCAATTTTAACAGAAAAAAAAAAACACCATGAAGAAATAGAGCAAGATATTCTAAGGGATAAAACTGAGCTTTCAGTTTTGGTTAAATAATAAGACTTATTATTTCCCTTTTATTATTTCCCTTTTATGTCAGTAAAAAGCAGTGGCATCGCTAGATCGGGTGACGCCCAGTGCAACACTTCGTTATGTTATCCCCACCCCCTAAAAATATTATATATATATATATATATATATATATATATATATATATATATATATATATATATATATATATATATATATATATATATATATATATATATATATATATATAGTGTGTGTGTGTATGTGTGGATGTGTGTTAGGCCTATAATTTAAATATATGCCACATACACGTACATGAATGTGGATAAGCTTTAATCACTGCAGACTTAATAGGGCTGGTAAGTAGGTCACCAATCAGTTCTATATATATATTATAAAGCGTTGGTAACAAAAGCAATTACTACTGTAGCCGAAGAAAAGTAATGTTTCATACTTGAGTACATCTTAATTATCTCAAAGCTTAGAAAGTGGTTGTAAAACTTGTTTTATCAGCCGTCAGTCTAGCCGGCAAGACAAAAACGATCAGCCGGCCATTTGATGAGTCTAGCCGGCAAGACTAAAATTATCAGCCGGCCATTGATGAGTCTAGCCGGCAAGACTTAAATTATCAGCCGGCCATTGATGAGTCTAGCCGGCAAGACTTAAATTATCAGCCGGCCATTGATGAGTCTAGCCGGCAAGACTAAAATTATCAGCCGGCCATTTGATGAGTCTAGCCGGCAAGACTTAAATTATCAGCCGGCCATTGATGAGTCTAGCCGGCAAGACTTAAATTATCAGCCGGCCATTGATGAGTCTAGCCGGCAAGACTAAAATTATCAGCCGGCCATTTGATGAGTCTAGCCGGCAAGACTTAAATTATCAGCCGGCCATTGATGAGTCTAGCCGGCAAGACTTAAATTATCAGCCGGCCATTGATGAGTTTAGCCGGCAAGACTAAAATTATCAGCCGGCCATTGATGAGTCTAGCCGGCAAGACTAAAATTATCAGCCGGCCATTGATGAGTCTAGCCGGCAGGACTAAAATTATCAGCCGGCCATTGATGAGTCTAGCCGGCAAGACTAAAATTATCAGCCGGCCATTGATGAGTCTAGCCGGCAAGACTAAAATTATCAGCCGGCCATTGATGAGTCTAGGCGGCAAGACTAAAATTATCAGCCGGCCATTGATGAGTCTATCCGGCAAGACTAAAATTATCAGCCGGCCATTGATGAGTCTAGGCGGCAAGACTAAAATTATCAGCCGGCCATTGATGAGTCTAGCCGGCAAGACTAAAATTATCAGCCGGCCATTGATGAGTCTAGGCGGCAAGACTAAAATTATCAGCCGGCCATTGATGAGTCTATCCGGCAAGACTAAAATTATCAGCCGGCCATTGATGAGTCTAGCCGGCAAGACTAAAATTATCAGCCGGCCATTGATCAGTTTAGCCGGCAAGACTAAAATTATCAGCCGGCCATTGATGAGTCTAGCCGGCAAGACTAAAATTATCAGCCGGCCATTGATGAGTCTAGCCGGCAAGACTAAAATTATCAGCCGGCCATTGATGAGTCTAGCCGGCAAGACTAAAATTATCAGCCGGCCATTGATGAGTCTAGCCGGCAAGACTAAAATTATCAGCCGGCCATTGAAGCGTTATAACAAAAGTAAACATGATGTGGGATTAGTGTTGTCTATAGACAATAGGAAACTTGGATTAAAAAAACCTAAACAAGAAAAAGGTTCCCTTATCTTATCGGCATGTCGTGACTGGTCTAACCTAGTTAGCGTTACTCACTACAAACCTTCCTTGGTGTAGAATGTCAGTTAGAACTTGACTGTTGTGACACAATTTTAGATGAACAGCTCATGTGTGGTTTAAACAAGACCGTTACGACATCCTGTCTTGATCTAATTTAAGATGGACTACTCACTTGTGGTTTAAACAAGCACGTTACGACATCCTGTATTGATTTAATCCATCAACATCTGTGCTGGCGTACCGACAATTTATTCTCCCAACTCTTTTGTTATTTGATAAGGGGGATAACCCAGACGACCTCAACAGATGCGAACACAGGTGCTGTGGGCATCGAGTTCAAGCGTCCCTACACTGACCACCTGTTGCCTGTGGGTAGAGCCGGTCACTCTAGCTGTAGCAGCCACCGCTATCACCACTCAAACAACATCCTACAACTGCATTCAGCTACATCGCCAACCACATCATCCATTCAACTCAATTAAACAACAGCACCATCCAATCAGACCATCCAACCAAACTATTCACCAATACATCTGTTTAACCACTCGAACCTAACCAAAAATCAAATCATCATCCAAGCTAATTTTATTTGTACAATTGCAAAATAATATTTTACTTTTCTTTATAAACAGAATAATAAAGCAAATATAAAAAGAAACTTAATAATAAAGACTATAAAAATGAAAAAAAAAAATTATAAAATATTAAGCTTATTTTTTTTAATTTCATATTTTAAGAATCAGAGATGTAAAATTTACAAAAGGAACTGTAAAATATTTGTCTGTGTTTAAGGCTACATTTCTATTTATTTTCAGCAAGCCTAAATTATAACCTGGAGTTTCACGTTCGTAAAATAAGCCATGATTAGCTTTATAGAAATTTCATGATCAATGTTCTGAAAACCCCACTTCATAGTCATTTGTACTCAAAACTTTGAGGATACACGTTTTTGATAAAATTACATTTGGGTAAACCACAATACCTAGTTATGTCATGAATATTTACATTTTCTGTGAACAAAACATAATACAACCAGGCGCGGTCTAGACTCAGGTCCCACTACACCCCAGTCAGAGAAAAACGGAATGGGATGCCGGCAGATCTGGAGACCACCCTCCAGTTCGTCTGTGACGTTTGACTTGTTGTGTGGCCCCTCGGATATAAATAATAATAAAAACGACGAGAACAAGAAGAAAATGTTTCCACTTTTTAGTCATACGTTCTTAATATTGTTGGCACTGCCTGACTAAGAATATGTGTGTTGACATCCAATCAGTAGCTTGCAATCTCTAAAAGACAATTGTCTGCTCCTTCTCGGTTCACTGGCAGTTGATAGAGCGATCGCTAGTACTAAAATTAATCTTGTTATCTCCCCTTTTATTATCTCACCTTTTGTTATTGTAGTCATTTATTAATTTAAATTATAATATCTAATCTAAAGATTTCTAATCTAGATTGGAAACAGAGATTTTTGCATTGTAATCGGAGACGAATGTATGAGAAAGAAAGAAATCGCTGCATTAGAAGTGGGTGAAAATTAAGTTAGAAGATTCGCCATCAACAAACAGACGTTGCAAAATAAATAAAATCTTAAACGAATATTAAGAACGGAGATTACAGAATTAGGAAGCTACCGGCGATTACACAATTAGCTAGATCAGGGGTCTCCAAAATACGGCCTGCGGGCCGGCCCGCGAGGTCATTTTATCCGGCCCGCGACGATCTTTTTGTCCACTGAATAAATGATTGTTGGAGGTGGCTGAGGAGCTTTGCACAGAAAATTCAAAACAATTTGAAAATGTAGCTTTGGATGCAAATACAATTACTCGCCGTGTTGCAGACATTGGTGAAACCATTGCGACTCAAATAGCGAAAAATTCAAGCAAGTTTCGCCATTTTTCAATTGCAATGGATGAGTCCCTGGACAGCTGTTCCCCCTCAACTGCTTGTGTTCATAAGAGGTGTGGATGAAGACATGAACATAACACAAGAGCTGGCTTCCCTACATATAATGTATGACACAGTTACCGGAGAGAATATCTAACCTTAGATAGTTCAGAGACAAACACAAAATCGCAAGATTTACCATATTTCACATCAGTAAGATTGTTAATTTTGCGAGAAAATTCTGAGCAGAGTATCTAAGAAAAGAAATAGGTGACTTCCTGATAGTAAAGGCAAGTCACAGCCATTATTGTCTGATGAAGAGTGGGTATAGAAATTGGCCTCTGCTGCAGACATAACTAGTCATTTAAATTTTCTGCACCTAAAACGGCAAGAGAGTGAAATCTAGTTTCTGATCGATACACCCACCTAACGGCCTTCAGATACAAACTTGTCATATTTTTGGAACAAGTACAGGCTAACAACTTGACACACTTTCAGCAGTGCAAGGTCTTTACGACTGAAGCAACCACTGAGTTCCCCACGTCATCTACATACGAGATCATTAAAGACCTCCAGCTGCAGTTTCAGTAGCGATTTTCTGACTTGGATTCAAAGGCAGAAGAAGTAAGACTGTTTTAAAGCTCATTTGAAGCAAATGTGGTCAGTTGCAAAGATGAACTGCAGCTGGAGGTCACTGAATTGCAAGAAAATGACTTCCTTAGAGACACGTTCAAAGAAGGGCGGATGGGATTTCATAAGTTTTTGCACAAGGAAGACTTTCCTAACATTAAAACTTTTGCATCAAAGTACCTTTCAAATTTTTGAACGACATACCTGTGTGAACAAACATTTTCAAGAATGAAATACGTGAAGAACAATTTGAGAGCAAACGTGGACCTCGGGTTGGGGGGAGGGGGGTGGACACTTGAAATTCGTATATATTTCTATATAAATTATATTTCGTTGGGGGGGGGGGGGGCGGTAGACGTTCTTCGGGGGGGGGGGGGCGCACACGACCCTGAAGAGATGCCTTAAAGAAACTCTGGCCCCCGAACTGATATTTTATAGTTAATGCGGCCCTCGGGCTGAAAAGTTTGGAGACCCCTGAGCTAGATGAACAGTTGTGACTGTTTTCACGCTAGAGAGACGACCACGTATAGAGTTATACCGGGCAGCAAATTGTCGGGTTTCTAAAATAAAATACTGAATGTTTAAAAAAACTAATTATCAACTTACAAATTTCAAAAAGTATAAAATAAAAGGAGTTTAAAAAAAAAAACATGAATAAAAATTAGCTTTTAATGCGCTGAATTTTTTTTTTAATTTACATCCTTGAATAAAAGCTTTGATCGCTCGTGAAATCGCCTACACATTTTGTTAGCAATCAATGCTTCTACACTAGCAAGTTTGTTTTCTTGTTGTTGTGTATTTTAAAGCTTAAAATTATAAATATGTTATTATTTGTTTTACTCTTAATGTGACCTAGACTCTACTTCTAAAATATAATAACTAAGATAAGAAAATAACAATACAGCACTTCATCAATTATTAGCATCGCGAAGCACACTAACAATATACAGTATTGATTTAATATATTGCAAGTAAATTTTGCAAGTTCTATTAAATTTTTGTAGACAGGTATGTGCGTTGGGAGGGAGGGGGAATCCTTTTTGTGAACATCATAAAAAGGATGACAGTCTGCCATCTGTCATGTGGGACTGACACTGCGAATTGAATGATGTAGACATTCAACAAACACCTGCTTTGTTTACTGAGGCATCAAGTGTTTAATACAAATCAGAGAGTTATGTTCAACTGGTGACGAGAGCTGGCTTGGTTGGAACGGTTAATGGCATCGTTCGTTTAGAAACAGGTGAAGTTTTGCCAAGCACATGCTAGGCTTCCTATTGGCTCGCAAATACCTGGAGGAGGAAAATTACTGTAAGAATACGTTTGAAACCATTGTGAGGTTAAAAACCTTAAGCTCAAGTAAAGAAAGGGTATATCATTGTTGAAACTTAATCATATTTTCTGTCGAAACTGGCGTACGTTTAAAAAAAATCGTGGTGTGACCGTTATAATTAAAAATACATAAATGAATGTCTCTTCTATTTTTAGATGAGAAATTATCTCCTTTACAGAACATGAAACATAATGTCTGTTTTTAGTATCCCACAAATACAATGCCCATCTGCCTTTATTTTCTTTAAAAATAACTCTTTATCACTGCCATACAAGCAGTGTTTCTTTCATACTTTTTTATGGTGGGATGCACTTGATTAATTCGGGGGGGGGGGGGGGGAGGGGGAGATGCCTGTAAGAAACTCTGCATACATATGATTTTCAGTCCATCTGCAGTAACACACGCCGTCGGAGAAGACTAAATACAAGGGCGACAAATGTGTCAAACTTTTGTTCTAATAGATATTCTGTTTAATTCCCTTTAATAGTCTACAAATGGAAGACATGGTAAAAGATAGTACGCCTCTAGTTCAGGTTGATGCTTTATATCCTGATATATCCATTGCATTTTTAGCTAAACCTTCCTGACACATCGAATGTGATGTACTAAACATCTAAAGAATGTGATCTACTAAACATCTAAAGAATGTGATCTACTAAACATCTAAACACCTGTGTTACCCCTTACCTGGGTGACCTGTGGCCTCCAGAAGGTGACCTGGTTTAGTTGGCGTGAAGTGGCAGTGGGGGTCACCTAGTTCCTCGCCGTTGCTGACCCCGTCTAGGTCAGAATCTCTGCGACACAGCGCATCAGTCCAGACGTGACCAGCGTCCGCGAAGTCCTGGAATTAGAAAAACGGACACGTTTTAGTTGAAACAAAAATGTCTCAATTTGACAGCTACATTTTCTACTCGACATCGGACAGTAAAATAAATGTACATTCTTAAAACATAGAGTCGTCCTTTTTCAAAAAATTATACCTTTGATTGAATGTAAAAAAAATTAATGTTAAATGTTAAATGAAGTTTCATCGCAAACATATTACGTCTATATCAGTGTATGTTTACATTTTTAAGTATTCAGTCCTCTGTGTTTATAGTTTATAAATGTACCCTTCAATCCATCATGTTTATAACCTACCCCCCTTTTGTTCATCCTGTTTACAAATTACCTTTCTAATCCTTATGTTTACCACTTACCCTTTAGGTCCTAATGTTTACCATTTACCCTTTAGATCCTAATATTTACCACTTACCCTTTAGTTCATAATTTTTACCACTTACTCTTTAGGTCCTAATGTTTACCACTTACCCTTCCACTCCTAATATTTGCCACTTACCCTTCCAAATGCGTTCAAGGTCCCAGCACCTAGAGGTGCCTTATGACCAACACCTGGCCAGGTGCCAATAGCACAGACATTCGGCACCTGGTCACCGTTGGGGATGTAGGCCTGATATGCCTGGAAGGCTACCACAGCGGCCAGCGAACATGCCAGGTACACCAATGAGAACATGTTGTCCAGTGGTCGACCAAAACAATCTTTCAGTCACGGACAAGTCAGCTGGCCATTTAAAGTCCGCAGGGTTAAGTCATAGGTCGGCTCGTGACTGGCACCGTTAGATAAAGTTTTAAAACATGGATCTATGACACGCTGGGGTTGCTGGCTGCTAGATAAAGTTTTAAAACACGGACATCTAACAGCACGATTTGAACTCGTGACGACAGAACATTGTTTCTTTATCCATGGCATGCACGTTTGGCGAGAGGCAGAGTCACACGCGGGGCTGTATATAGAGGCAGTGGAGTCACATACGACTATATATAGAGGCAGTGGAGTCACATACTAGACTATATATAGAGGTAGTGGAGTCACATACGACTATATATAGAGGCAGTGGATTCACATACGACTATATATAGAGGCAGTGGAGTCACAAACATGACTATATATAGAGGCTCACATACATGACTATATATTGTGGCAGTCGAGTCACATACACGACTATATATAGTCAGTGGGGTCACATACACGACTTGATATAGAGTCAGTGGAGTGACATACATGACTATATGTAGAGGCAGTGGAGTCACATACACGACTACATATAGAGACAGTGGAGTCACATACATGACTATATATAGAGGCAGTTGAGTCACATACACGAATATATATAGAGGCTCACATATATGACTATATAAAGAGACACTGGAGTCACATACATGACTATATATAGAGACAGTGGAGTCACATACATGACTATATATAGAGACAGTGGAGTCACATACATAACTATATAGTCAGTGGGGTCACATACATGACTATATATAGAGTCAGTCGAGTCACATACATGACTATATATAGAGGCAGTGGAGTCACATACATGACTATATATAGAGGCAGTTGAGTCACATACACGAATATATATAGAGGCTCACATACATGACTATATATAGAGACACTGGAGTCACATACATGACTATATATAGAGTCAGTGGAGTCACATAAATGACTGTATATAGAAGCATTGGAGTAACATAATACTGTCTTCTAAAACGTTAAAATCAAACATGACTTTATATTCCATTTGTGACGTCTTAAGCTCCTACGTATATGTTTAACACCAGTGTATGTAATGTTTCCAATTGTGTTTCCCCGCGATTGAAATATTATAAACTTTGTACTGTACATTTCTACGTAGTCTTAAATATTACAAGATTTTTGACGTAAAGTAGACACAAATACAAGATGATAATCTTGACACATTACAGACACAAGTACAAGATGCTAATCTTGACACGGTCTAGGCACAAAGACAAGATGCTAATCTTGACACGGTCTAGGCACAAATACAAAATGATAATATTGACACGGTCTAAGCACAAATACAAAATGATAATATTGACACGGTCTAAGCACAAATACAAAATGATAATATTGACACGGTCTAAGCACAAATACAAAATGATAATATTGACACGGTCTAAGCACAAATATTACCTAACAACCTTAAAACAGACCAGGCACCAATATTTGAAGTTTTTCCAGGACCATCTTGTTGACGACGCTATGCAGACGAACCAGCACTCCCTCATCAACAGCCAACAGATTCACTTGAAGTCAATTACTGGCAGACAGACTTCACTAATTGTGGACATATTTACAAGGGAAAGGCCTGGATCTCAAACTCTAGATTGACCTATTATGAGATTGTTACTCGCCACAGAAGTGCCCCAATAATCACCAACGTGAAGTTTTCAGCAGACACGTGGAGGACATCCAAACAAACGCGAAAAGTCCAGATATTAATGGCCGTCGGGTGAGACCTCTCCAGGTATCCTGGTCTAATATGATCAGTAACTTCATTCAAACTAATGGAAAACTCGCAGATTAAGGTAATGTTTAGGGCTTTTACTGAATGACTCCTGGGTAACATTAGTTAACTTGAAATTTCGTCTAATATACACTTGATGTAAAATACAGATCTTGAATTAGCTTATTTAATTAAAAAATTATCATTTTTAATATGTAGAATTGTATTTTGAAATTTAATCAATTTAAAATAACGAAAATTAAATGAATAGTAAAAACAATGAATTTTATCCGAAATAGCTGAATGTTATTTTTTTTAAAACTTTTATTCAGAAACGTAAAGCACTTTAAACACATCATGTAATTTTAAAAGCACAATATTTTTCAAAATAATAGAAAATACGGTTTGAAATGAATCCTTTTGTTTTAGCAGTTTCAAAAAATGCCGTTGAAGAACGAATTCTCCATCCGGCATTACAATCAGCAAAAACATTGCTCTTCGCATTGGTACTGTTATTTGTATTCTGATTTCACTCTTGTTAAGGACAGAGACAATAAGTAACACAGAGACAAGATATGCAATACATTTCTAAAGTCTCAATATAAAAGTAGATCTTTATTTTTAAAACATACGTTCATCAATGTTGTGTACGACGACGAATTAGCTTGACCACTTTAGCAAGTAAAACCTTGCCATGCGCACTGTAGGCTTCCAATTGGCTCACAAATACCTAATTAAATCAAACAATCGAATTTTTTAAAAGTTCTAAACTAATTTTACAATATTAATATTACAATCATTAGACTAGGTTCAATTTAATATTGAGAAAATTACTTAATGAAATGTTAAAAGTATTGAACCCAATTGCAAACCTACACCGTCCATCTTCTTTTTTTTTGGGAGGGGGGGGGAATGAGATTCGTATAAGCTGGTTCATAAAGAGTCCATCTACAGTAGTTCGCAACGTGTTCTTTCAATAGATCTAATTTAAAGTCAAAGCTTAACTTCTGAAAAATTGAACATCTTAAGTGAGATAACAAAATTTTTAAACCATTTTCCTAACCCTCAATCTGAAGTGAAAAAAAGGTAAATTTTTGAAAGAGGACTTCTCTAGCTAGTAAAGTGACAAAGTACGCTTTGCAAAAGGACTTCTCTAGCTATTGAAGAGACAGACCAGTATTAGCGATTGGACTAATTAGAGCATGACATAGATAATTAAATACCCGGATGCCCGGTGGCCTCCAGTAGGTGACCTGGTTTGGAGGGTGTGAAGTGGCAGTGGGGGTCACCTAGTTCCTCGCCGTTGGTTTTGCCGTCCAGGTCAGAATCTCTGTGACACAGCTCCTCAGTCCAGACGTGACCAGCGTCCGCGAAGTCCTGGGTGGGAAGATAAAAATTGGTTTGGCTTGACAGGTCAACTCTACTTCACCGATACATAAGACACAATGATTAAGTAAAGTTGGCCTTTCGGCATAACGATCCATAAAGCAGATGTAATAAAGTCCACATGTTTTTTAGCCGCGGCATTTTAAGGGATATAGTTAGCACTATTCCCAGTTGTCTTTACTTTCCCTGACGTGAGCCAGGTACTCATTCAGAGCTGGATGGACTCAGGGATGTGATATAGTCTCAAACCGAGATCCGAACTCGATATCTTCGGGCTATCAGTCGAGTGCTATACCACACGACCACGCCGTACCTTGACCCAAGGAGTATCAATTCCACAACTCTATCTCAGTAATTTACTGCAAGCATTGGGTTTTTTAGATCTCTGAAAGCGAGGGCTGAACTTACCCGCCCAAAGTCGTTCAAGACTCCAGCCCCTAAACTGGCGATGTGACCAACACCTGGCCAGGTACCAATTGCACAGACATTCGGCACCTGGTCGCCATTAGGGATGTATGCCTGATATGCCTGAAAGGCTGTCACAGCGGCCAGAGAACATGCCAGGTACACGATAGAAAACATGGTGTCTGGTCGGCTAACGAAAGTCCAACAACAGTGGCAAGTCGCGGTTTAAATATCATGTACTTCTAGCAGCTCGTGATTACTGGCGATCTCATTGGCTTTAAAAACTTAAGCACGTGACAATCTTAGATTACGTGACCTGGACAACTGCTTTTTCAAACTAAATTCAACCTTGAATAGTCACATAACATTACTTTATTTGCAGCCAACAGTTTTAGATCTTGAAACAAGACATGCCACAGAAACATTTTTTTGCTGTACCAAGCAGAGTTGAGAGGCAGTTTGTAAAACAGGAAATGGTGTTGACGGAACGTGAACCTTAATTAAATTAATTAATCAAGTCCTATCGTAGCCATTTTTTGTAGGTTTCTGGTTGACGTATGATAAATACACAGTGTGTTACATAACATATATGTAGAATATGGGGAAATAGCTAATGTGGTTCACAGTGTTACATGTATGTGGTATGTGGTTCACCGTGTTGCATGTATATGGTATAAAACTGTGTGTGTGTTTGTCACAAGATTCGCTGTTTTCTGTAATTTGTAATTTTAGTTACAACATGACCATCACAACGAAACACACTGACCCCTACATGTGTTCCTTCAAGTCTGCTTGTGATAGGTCCTATTGATAGGTCCCACATGTGTTTCTTCAAGTCTGCTTGTGATAGGTCCTATTGATAGGACCCGCATGTGTTCCTTCAAGTCTGCTTGTGGTAGGTCCTATTGATAGGACCCGCATGTGTTTCTTCAAGTCTGCTTGTGATAGGTCCTATTGATAGGACCCGCATGTGTTCCTTCAAGTCTGCTTGTGATAGGTCCTATTGCAGACACCTCAGTAATTCAGCACGTGGTTTCCCTGGGGTCTTGTACCATTGGTAAGATCTGCATAGAGGATGTGTGTTGGGTATTCGGCCTTCATGCATGCGACAGACACGACCTAGCCGGTCTTCTCTGAGTTAATATTCCCTGAGCACTAAAGGAATTGGCTTGTTACAAGATGATTTAGTTGGTGACACGGTCATCCCATGTAATACACAGGCAGCGCATACGAAAAGTGTTCAGTTTGCGTATATAAAAAAACAGGCTTTAATTGTTCCACTTGATTCACTAGATTTCCATGTTTGTTATTTTTTTAGTCCCATTGTTTTACTTAGTTTGTGCAAACCTCAACTGACGCAAAAACACGTATACAATGAGTACTTTTACCCCTAATGTGCAATGGATTTATTTTCAATAATCAGCCCTTGTTATTTTGCTTTACATTGTTTAACGTTGTTAGCGCTTTAGTCAAACAGAACACTCCATACTCGTTACGATGAGAGGAAGTGTGTCATTGTATTTCTCTTCCATGTTGTTATGTATTTTGTTCAATTACCTCTCATGGTAGTGCAAGAAAAATATACCTCTTTAAATCTGACGGTCCAACAGAAAGCTGTAGGCTGATGAAAAAAGTTGGTCCCCAATCTAGGATTGAAAGACTTTTTGTTAGGATCTCCAGCAATTGTAATACCTCTAGTATTTGCTGGAAACGTGTGTGTAAACTGAGCGTTCCTAGTCACAATACGGCTGGTAAGTATTTCACCAACCAGTTCTACGGCTCAATAAAATCAGCATGAGCCATAGAACTGGTTGGTGACCTACTTACCAGTCCTATTGGGGAAGCTTTGTCTACAAACTGTTTTCACTAGACTGGACAGTTATTGGCTGTCTAGCTTGTTAACTGTGTGTGGTGATTTATGTACACTAGATGTTAAAGTTCGTCTTGATGTATACGTGGGATCGATGAATGTGTGGGTTCTTCATTGCCTTGACTGATTGTGTGGGTCCCCCACTGACTTGACTGATTGTGTGGGTCCCCCACTGACTTTAAAGATTGTGTGGGTCCCCCACTGACTTGACTGATTGTGTGGGTTCCCCTTTGATCTGATTTATCAAGTTTAGCGTCAAAGTAGTTTTATTCCATCTAATATTTAAATAGTTTTTTTTAAAACACGATTTACCCTAAACGCTAACTGCAATAATTTACCCTAAACGCTAACTGCAATAACAATTTTCAAACACAACAAATTTTGAGTTTTGAGTTTAATTTGATCTAATCACAAGTTGTACAGCAGCAGATGTAACCTAGCAACTGAAGCCTTGCCATGCGCAACCGGCACTTCCTACTGGCTCACAGATACCTGGTGGAAATTAATGAAAACATTTTACAGATACCTAGTGGAAATTAATGAAAACATTTTACAGATACCTAGCGGAAATTAATGAAAACATTTTACAGATACCTAGTGGAAATTAATGAAAACATTTTACAGATACCTAGTGGAAATTAATGAAAACATTTTACAGATACCTAGTGGAAATTAATGAAAACATTTTACAGATACCTAGTGGAAATTAATGAAAACATTTTACAGATACCTAGTGGAAATTAATGAAAACATTTTACCGATACCTAGCGGAAATTAATGAAAACATTTTACAGATACCTAGTGGAAATTAATGAAAACATTTTACAGATACCTAGCGGATGTAATGAATTAAAGCATTCTATAAACAGATACCTATGAGTGGAATTACGGCGTGGCCTAGCGATAGAGCGCTAGACTGCTAACCCGAGAATCCCGAGTTCGGATCCCGGGTTCGAGTCTGTAGGACGTCCCTGAGTCCACTCAGCTCTTTTCTCAGGCTGCTACATGAATCACGTTAAGGAGTTTAGTGCTGACCTTCTTCTTCTTCTTCTTCGTTCTTAATTTTTAGTGTTGGAAGGGATCGAGCTTTTGCCGACTCGACCACGCTTCCATCACAATTAAGGATACGTGTCAACTGGTAATGCGCCATAGGCCATTGACACCAATTTCAGCCTGCTTTTCTTTTTGTATTTGCTTCCATAGCCTTTGTACAACCAAGAACAAACTACAAGGCAATGTTGACCAAACTATCCGTTCATATGCTGAGGTCATTGAAACAGATGCACTCTACTTTATCTGCCTCGTGTTCCTTGGGCCCGAAGAGGAAACTGGCAATGTTTAGAGAGAACATCCTTGTAGGAACGCGAAAGGCGTTATAGAATCTCTTGTCACTGAGAATAATTTTGTCAGGGACTTTAAAAAATGTTTTAGAAGTTGGCAAACTATTTCCACGTCTACACAACTAACCACTTTTTTCAAGAACCCGTAGTAATGGAAAGCTGTAGAAATGTACAGCTGTAGTAACGTGAAGTTGTAGAAATGTAAAGCTGTTGTAATGTAAAGCTGTTGTAATGTAGTAATGTGATGTCTTTGATATGTTACTCTCCATCCTAATAAAGCACTGTTTTTTATAGTTCTATAGCCAAGGGAGGTTAAAGCATAAATCAATGTTCTATCAAGCTGTCACGAGTTACGGTACTTTACCAACAATGTAATAATTCTTGAGACTGTCAAGCATGGGATTAGGTTTTAAAGTTATTCAGTCACATTTCTATATAAGAAAACCAAAATGTCTGTATTGCCCATCATGGCCGTGAGCTTTCATTTGTGTCAAACTACAGTCGTGAAGTGAAGCACAACCTGCTTGACCACTGGCTGTCAAAACCTACCTTGATGGACTGAGACATGACAACCTACCTACATGGCTAGTGGCTGACAACCTACCTACATGGCTAGTGGCTGACAACCTACCTGGATGGCTGTGACAACCTACCTGGATGGCTGTGACAACCTACCTGGATGGCTGTGACAACCTACCTACATGGCTGTGACAACCTAACTGGATGGCTGAGACAACCTACCTACATGGCTAGTGGCTGACAACCTACCTGGATGGCTGTGACAACCTACCTGGATGGCTGTGACAACCTACCTACATGGCTGAGACAACCTACCTACATGGCTAGTGGCTGACAACCTACCTGGATGGCTGTGACAACCTACCTACATGGCTGTGACAACCTAACTGGATGGCTGAGACAACCTACCTACATGGCTAGTGGCTGACAACCTACCTGGATGGCTGTGACAACCTACCTGGATGGCTGTGACAACCTACCTGGATGGCTGTGACAACCTACCTACATGGCTGTGACAACCTACCTGGATGGCTGAGACAACCTACCTACATGGCTAGTGGCTGACAACCTACCTGGATGGCTGTGACAACCTACCTGGATGGCTGTGACAACCTACCTACATGGCTGTGACAACCTAACTGGATGGCTGAGACAACCTACCTACATGGCTAGTGGCTGACAACCTACCTACATGGCTAGTGGCTGACAACCTACCTGGATGGCTAGTGGCTGACAACCTACCTGGATGGCTGTGACAACCTACCTGGATGGCTGTGACAACCTACCTGGATGGCTGTGACAACCTACCTACATGGCTGTGACAACCTAACTGGATGGCTGAGACAACCTACCTACATGGCTAGTGGCTGACAACCTACCTGGATGGCTGTGACAACCTACCTACATGGCTAGTGGCTGACAACCTACCTGGATGGCTGTGACAACCTACCTACATGGCTAGTGGCTGACAACCTACCTGGATGGCTGTGACAACCTACCTGGATGGATGTGACAACCTACCTACATGGCTAGTGGCTGACAACCTACCTGGATGGCTGTGACAACCTACCTGGATGGCTGTGACAACCTACCTACATGGCTAGTGGCTGACAACCTACCTGGATGGCTGTGACAACCTACCTGGATGGCTGTGACAACCTACCTGGATGGCTGTGACAACCTACCTACATGGCTGTGACAACCTACCTGGATGGCTGTGACAACCTACCTGGATGGCTGTGACAACCTACCTGGATGGCTGTGACAACCTACCTGGATGGCTGTGACAACCTACCTGGATGGCTGTGACAACCTACCTGGATGGCTGTGACAACCTACCTACATGGCTGTGACAACCTACCTGGATGGCTGTGACAACCTACCTACATGGCTGTGACAACCTACCTGGATGGCTGTGACAACCTACCTGGATGGCTGTGACAACCTACCTGGATGGCTGTGACAACCTACCTGGATGGCTGTGACAACCTACCTGGATGGCTGTGACAACCTACCTACATGGCTGTGACAACCTACCTGGATGGCTGGTGGCTGGTCCCAGGTTGCTGGGGTGAGCTGTGGTAAAGTGACAGTTGGGGTCACCCAGCTCCTCACCGTTGGACTTGCCGTCCCTGTCGGAGTCCGCCCTACACAGCTCCTGGGTCCAGATGTGACCAGCCGCGGCAAAGTCCTGGACAAGACAAGATGGGTCAGCTTGATCAGGCCGGGGGGTCCAGTTGTTTGAGGGACTGCAGCACTGCATGTCTAGGTTACTATATTTATGGGACGGCGTGGCCTAGTGGTAGAGCGCTAAAATGCTAACCCGAAAGTCTCAAGTTCGAATCAGGGTTCAAGTCAGTCGACCGTTCCTGAGTCCACCAGCTTTGATGGGTAGCTAACACGCTAGGGAAAGTAAAGGCGGCTGGGCATAGTGCTCGCCGCACTATCTCCTCACATCCCGAGGTCACAGAAACAGGTGAACTCTACTTCACTTGCCCCGTAGACCGTAAGGCTCGAAAATGGAACTTTACTTGCAATGTTTAATGACGTTATGTGGCTTGGCACTTTATTTAAGTCGGGAGCTTAATCCAAAGTCATGAGCTTGGTAAATAGTGAGAGCTTAAACTATGACATGAGCTCCAAATTTAGAAGTAACCAAGAGTTCCCGGAGCTTAATGCACAGCGAGTGTTTGTTAAGCTGTGAGAGCTTAATGCACAGTGAGTGTCTGTAAAATTGTGAAAGCTTTATGTCAGTAGGAGTTAAATAAATGTTGAGAATTTAAAACTAATCGTGAGTTAAGTAAACCGTTACGTCGAATTCAAAGATTATCGGAGCTTCTTTTTCGTTCGGAGCTTAATGAAGGTCGAGAGTTTTTAAAAATGTTAAAACATCTAACATATCATGGGGATTTTACGAGCTTAAAACAAGAGTTTTACCGCGCCAAACGGGTTGAGAGCCCCTGTGCCCCTGGGGATCAGGTGCCCCACCCATGCCCACGTGCCTATAGCGCAGGGGTTAGGTACACTTGTCCCCCGTGGAATCTGTGCCTGGTACGAGATGAATGCTGCAGCATAGCTGTACGCTAGCGCTAAGATAAGAAGCTTCATGATTTGAAGCTGACGGTGTACAATCTATCTCTTGAGCGCACGAACAGCGAATTTTTATAACTGAGTTTTTTACTGAGATCTGCCATATGTTTTGTTTACTAATCTGACTTCGTGATCATTTATGGAACAATCACATATGTTGGTAGCTTCTAATCATGTAGATCTTGAAAACGGTTATCTCTACTAATCTACGTGGAGCTTCTTTTAACAACACAAAAATACAGTTAATTTTTTTTTTAATTTAGAAAATAGATTATTACATAATCTAAACGTTAATAAATCATACTTCATTCTTCTTCTTCGTTCTTAATTTTTAGTGTTGGGAGGGATCGAGCCTTATCTGCCAGAGGGTTTGAACTCAAGACTTTTTTCGAATTTAACCATGAGCTTTGCCGACTCGACCATGCTTCCATCACAATTAGGGATTACGTGTCAACTGGTTTTGCGCCATTGAGGCCATTGACTCCGATTTCAGCCTGCTTTTCTTTTTGGATTTGCTTCCATAGCCTTTGTCCAAACAAGAACAAACTACAAGGCAGCAGTTGTTTGATTTTGGAGTTGTCTCTCCTAGAAGAGTGGCTGTCCCCAGCTAACGAGCCTCATATGCCCGAGGGTTCGAACTCGAGACTTTTCGGTTTAGCAACCATGAGCTTTACCGACTGCAGAAGGAAGCTAACATTGAAGCAGACTTGACGAAAGACTTACAACACCGAATGCGTTGAGCGGTCCGGACCCATGTGAGTTGAGGTGACCAACGCCTGACCAGTAGCCGATGAGGCAGGGGCTGATGACGGAATTGCCGTTGGGGATCTGGGACTGGTAGGAGAGGAAAGCTGAGGCAGCTCCAAGACAAGCGAGAACACACACAGAGAGAAGCATCGTTCTGTGGGTGAAAGTTTAACATGTGTATAGATGGAAGTAGCATCGTTCTGTGAATAAAAGATTGACATATGTATAGATGGAAGTAGCATCGTTCTGTGGATGAAAGATTGACATATGTATAGATGGAAGTAGCATCGTTCTGTGGATGAAAGATTGACATATGTATAGATGGAAGTAGCATCGTTCTGTGGGTGGAAGATTGACATATGTATAGATGGAAGTAGCATCGTTCTGTGGATGAAAGATTGACATATGTATAGATGGAAGTAGCATCGTTCTGTGGATGAAAGATTGACATATGTATAGATGAAAGTAGCATCGTTCTGCAGGTGAAAGATTGACATATGTATAGATGGAAGTAGCATCGTTCTGGGGGTGAAAGATTGACATATGTATAGATGGAAGTAGCATCGTTCTGGGGGTGGAAGATTGACATATGTATAGATAGAAGTAGCATCGTTCTGGGGGTGAAAGATTGACATATGTATAGATGGAAGTAGCATCGTTCTGGGGGTGAAAGATTGACATATGTATAGATGGAAGTAGCATCGTTCTGGGGGTGGAAGATTGACATATGTATAGATGGATGTAGCATCGTTCTGCGGGTGAAAGATTGACATATGTATAGATGGAAGTAGCATCGTTCTGCGGGTGAAAGATTGACATATGTATAGATGGAAGTAGCATTGTTCTGTGGATGAACACAAGGACATATGTATAGATGGAAGTAGCATCGTTCTGTGGGTGAAAGATTGACATATGTATAGATGGAAGTAGCATCGTTCTGTGGGTGAAAGATTGACATATGTATAGATAGAAGTAGCATCGTTCTGCGGGTGAAAGATTGACATATGTATAGATGGAAGTAGCATCGTTCTGCGGGTGAAAGATTGACATATGTATAGATGGAAGTAGCATCGTTCTGGGGGTGAAAGATTGACATATGTATAGATGGAAGTAACATTTTTCTGGGGGTGAAAGATTGACATATGTATAGATGGAAGTAACATTTTTCTGGGGGTGAAAGATTGACATATGTATAGATGGAAGTAGCATCGTTCTAGGGTTGAAAGATTGACATATGTATAGATGGAAGTAGCATCGTTCTGTGGATGAAAGGTTGACGTATGTATAGATGGAAGTAGCATCGTTCTGTGGGTGAAAGATTGACATATGTATAGATGGAAGTAGCATCGTTCTGGGGGTGAAAGATTGACATATGTATAGATGGAAGCAGCATCGTTCTGGGGGTGAAAGATTGACATATGTATAGATGGAAGTAGCATCGTTCTGGGGGTGGAAGATTGACATATGTATAGATGGAAGTAGCATCGTTCTGGGGGTGGAAGATTGACATATGTATAGATGGAAGTAGCATCGTTCTGGGGGTGGAAGATTGACATATGTATAGATGGAAGTAGCATCGTTCGGGGGTTGGAAGATTGACAAATGTATAGATGGAAGTAGCATCGTTCTGGGGGTGGAAGATTGACATATGTATAGATGGAAGTAGCATCGTTCTGGGGGTGGAAGATTGACATATGTATAGATGGAAGTAGCATCGTTCTGGGGGTGGAAGATTGACATATGTATAGATAGAAGTAACATCGTTCTGGGGTTGAAAGATTGACATATGTATAGATGGAAGTAGCATCGTTCTGTGGGTGAAAGATTGACATATGTATAGATGGAAGTAGCATCGTTCTGTGGGTGAAAGACTGACATATGTATAAATGGAAGTAGCATCGTTCTGCGGGTGAAAGATTGACATATGTATAGATGGAAGTAGCATCGTTCTGGGGGTGGAAGATTGACATATGTATAGATGGAAGTAGCATCGTTCTGCGGGTGAAAGATTGACATATGTATAGATGGAAGTAGCATCGTTCTGTGGGTGAAGGATTGACATATGTATAGATGGAAGTAGCATCGTTCTGTGGATGAACACAAGGACATATGTATAGATGGAAGTAGCATCGTTCTGTGGGTGAAAAATTGACATATGGATAGATGGAAGCAGCATCGTTCTGGGGGTGAAAGATTGACATATGTATAGATGGAAGTAGCATCGTTCTGTGGGTGAAAGATTGACATATGTATAGATGGAAGTAGCATCTTTGTGTGGGTGAAAGATTGACATATGTATAGATGGAAGTAGCATCGTTCTAGGGTGAAACATTGACATATGTATAGATGGAAGTAGCATCGTTCTGGGGGTGAAAGATTGTCATATGTATAGATGGAAGTAGCATCGTTCTGGGGGTGAAAAATTTATATATAAATATATACATACATATATATATATATATACATACATATATATATATATATATATATATATATATATATATATATATATATATATATATATATATATATATATACAGAAAGAGAGAGAAATGGAAGTAGCATCTTTCTGTGGATAAAAACATTAATGTCGGTAAATAAGACACAGAAATTAGAATTGACAACTGTATAGATGAAAGTAGCATCGTGTTGTCAATAAAATAATTGAATTGTGTATAGATGAAACAGAAAGTAGCAGTGTTCTATGGCTAAAAGATTGACATGACATATGTTTAGATGAAACAGAAAGTAGCAGTGTTCTATGGCTAAAAGATTGACATATGTATAGATGACACATAAAGTCAACATTGACATCTGACATCTGTGAAGATAACAGAAAGTCGCCTGGATGCGATGATCAAAATGTCGCCAACAGCGTCAAGCATTGATGAGCAAGCTGTTCTTCCTTTCTTTTAGAACTTTCCCGTCCGACATGAAACTTTCATCCCAGCCTCCAGCAAACAATTTATTTTCTATTTTAACTTTGGACACTTAAAGTTTGGTTGTTGTTTTTTTGCGATTATTCATCATCGTGTAAAAATATTTTTCATAAATTAAGATTTCACAAATATGCCTAGTTAGATCATTTCTTACTGCTTTCTACATTAAATTATATTGTCAAAAAAGTTTATTACATTTTTTTTAAATCCGTTTAAAATGAGTGACATTTCCTTTTTTGTGTATACAGATAAACTTATCAGAACCTGTTACAGTTAGGAGAGTTTGGTTTAATAAACTTTACCTGGTAGTTTCAAGAAATGGACGTTCCTGAAAATGGTAGCACCACCTGCATGTGTCGCTATTTATAGCAGACGGTGCTCCTGAATTCTGACTCAGCACATGACGCCGGCTGAGAACGTGACTACAGACAAGTGAAGTTGTCGCGATCTTTGGCCACTGAAAACTTCGGGGAATTTTAAAAAATGTCTAGTTGTAATGTAAGCCCATCAGTGGGAGTTCTCACGTTATGGTCTAGCTCGACATGCTGGTAGGATAGGGAGGCAGGACACGTAGGTTATATGGGCGAGGGATATTTGGGATAGATCGGGAGGTGGGTAGTTTATGATAGGTGGGAGAGGTGGGATATTCGGGATAGATGGTGGGTGGGTAGTTTATGATAGGTGGGAGAGGTGGGATATTTGGGATACATGGGGGTGGGTAGTTTATGATAGGTGGGATGTGTGGGATATAAGTGGTAGGACCATGTTTGACTAATGTAACTGGTAGGGCAATGACTGATATAAATGGTAGGACATTGTTTGACTGATATAACAGGTAGGATAATGTTTGGCTGATACAACTGGTAGGACATTGTTTGACTAATGTAACTGGTAGGACATTGACTGATACAACTGGTAGGACAATGTTTGACTGATATAACAGGTAGGACAATGACTGATATAACTGGTAGGACATATAGGACGGGCAGGACTGGTTGCATCAAGCCTGATCTGAATTTACTCGCAAATATTGGTAGTTTTTTAAAGACAAGATTCTCAATTCTTGTATAAATATTTCATTATGTTACCCAGTGTGGCCCAAGATATGTTAATCATATTTTCTCCTTAATCCTGTATTATGACAATATGTTAATCATATTTTCTCCTTAATCCTGTATTATGACAATATGTTAATCATATTTTCTCCTTAATCCTGTATTATGACAATATGTTAATCATATTTTCTCCTTAATCCTGTATTATGACAATATGTTAATCCCACACTCCAATGGTTTTGTCCAATGCTAATCGTGTGACGTAATAGTAAGTTCATGTAATGCTTCAAGGTTGTCGTTCCTGTTTATCCCATGCATCATCTACTGTTTACTGTCAGTTTTAATAGTCCCATGCTTCATCTACTATTTACTTTTAGTGTTCATTTGTTATAAGTCCCATGCATCATCTACTGTTTACTGTCAGTGTTAATAATCTGTTCATTCATGAGACGACGTGGGCTAAAGGTACGGCGCTAGACTGCTAACCCGGAAGTCTACAGTTCCTGAGTCCACCCAGCTCTAATGGGTACCTAACTCAAGTTAGGGAAAAAATTAAGGCGCTGGGCATAGTTCTGACCACCTCATCACTTTATATAAACTCTACTTTATCTGCCCTATGTGTCTTGGGCACGGCGGAAAAAACGATGATGATATATTCATTCAAACAAGCTATTTTTTTAATCTAAAACCATTATGTTGTTCATAGTGATGTCTCTAGCCTAGTTACAAATGGGTTTTGTTACTGGGGGCCTTTTGTTTTAGTTGTTTTAGCTTCGGGCGCAAGAATTTAAATTTGAATCCACGGGTAAGATGGGGGGGGGTCGTTGTTTAACGAGCGTCTCTACACATTTCATTAACGTGAGAAGCCAAGGCTGGAGCAAATATTTAATGACATTCTTATCAAAGTAATGAGCTAAATAGTTCAAGTCCGACCCACACAAAGTACTTGAATTTGAAGTTCATCAATTTTTATTTTTTTTATGCAATGCATTATATACTAAAACAAAACAATCGAAATGCTAGTTAGCACACATTCACCCTAACAAATTCCACGCTTACACACATCCACGCTAAAATAAGAAGTTCTACGCTAACACACATGTACGCTAAACAGACTCCACGCTAACACACATCCACGCTAAAAAGAAGTTCCACTCTAAAAAAGAAGCTCCTCGCTAAAAAGAAGTTCCACGCTAAAAAAAAGAATTTCCACGCTAACAAGATTCCACTTGTGGCTTATAATGGGCCAGCACATGCAAAGGCTTGCCACGCGCAGCGGGGACTTCCGATTGGTTCACAGATTCCTGTACGGGAGGGGGGGGGGAGAGAAAATCAATTTAGTTACATGGTTTTAACATTTAAACTGTTAGTCAAAAATAATAAACTCCTCCGTAATATATCTAATTATGTGCATAGAGCTTTTAGAAGGACGACCGTAAGTGCCTAAAAACTAAAAGTAATTAAGCTTGAACAAAGTTACCTGGGGACAACTTAAACAAACTTACCTGGATGATTGCCCCTGAAGAATGTTACTAGGTGGGAACTTTGAGGGACTCACCTGGATGTGTTTGGGGCGCCACTGTGTTACCAGGGTGCTCGGGCGTCCACCTGCACTGGGGGTCACCGAGCTCCTCACCGTTGGTGCGCCCGTCCCTGTCTGAGTCAAGGTGACACAGGGCGGGGGTCCACACGTGACCAGCGGCAGCAAAGTCCTGGGGTGGGGGGGGGGGGGGTCAAGTTTGGTGAACTCTTTGGTTTTATCTTTAAATGTTTGCTTGAACCTTTTCATACTTAATACTCTTACATCCCTCTTAAACCTCCTCAGTTAGAGGAGGGGGGGGGAGCATTTATTTATCATTTAATCATTCAGTTATTTATTTTTTAATAATGTATGTAATAGTTGCTTTATAATGATTATTTTATGCCCTATGCTAGATATAAAAGCAGTATGTAAAGAAGTCTGTGTTTTCTTACAGTGCCGAATTCGTTCCTCGCTCCTGACCCCTCAGCCAGGTAGTGCCCCACCCCCGGCCAGTAGCCAATCAAACAAGGGTGGGGCACCAGGTCACCGTTAGGGATGGCGTCCTGGTACCGGATGAAAGCTGTGGCCAGACTTAGACAAGCCAGGAACACGACGCTACCCAACATGACTTCTGTCCAATGAAAACAGAACAACTGTTTGCAGTGGTGAACAATAATCAAGTAAAAACACGTTGAATGATGTAGTAGATAATACAAAGTTACCTGAGTTTGTCGGGATGTCAGGTAGAATTTGAAAAAAAAATTCTTGACGGTGGCAGCGTGTAAAGATAATTCGTAACGTTTGTTTTCGATGGAAGCTTAGGTTGTAAAGATAATTCGTAGCATATCACTTTTAATAAGGCTATCTTTCATGATCAAAAGTTGACCTACTAACCTACCATCTCTAGAAAAAAAGTTTCAGTTAGTGTGTCTGAGCGCCATTTTTTGCGGTCTGATTGTCCATAGTCCATTTTTTTGTTTGTCTTGTTTCGAAAATTTTCAAAACTAGATTTAGAACAAACTGTTTCTGGGCAAGCGCAATGTTTACATAGAAGTCTCGAGTTCGGATCTTGCACAAATTTTAGGCATCCATAAGTCACCCAATTTAAATGGGTACCTAACTCACATCATAAGTCACCCAATTTAAATGGGTACCTAACTCACGTCATAAGTCACCCAATTTAAATGGGTACCTAACTCACATCATAAGTCACCCAATTTAAATGGGTACCTAACTCACATCATAAGTCACCCAATTTAAATGGGTACCTAACTCACGTCATAAGTCACCCAATTTAAATGGGTACCTAACTCACGTCATAAGTCACCCAATTTAAATGGGTACCTAACTCACGTCATAAGTCACCCAATTTAAATGGGTACCTAACTCACGTCATAAGTCACCCAATTTAAATGGGTACCTAACTCACGTCATAAGTCACCCAATTTAAATGGGTACCTAACTCACGTCATAAGTCACCCAATTTAAATGGGTACCTAACTCACGTCATAAGTCACCCAATTTAAATGGGTACCTAACTCACGTCATAAGTCACCCAATTCAAATGGGTACATGACTCACGTCATAAGTCACCCAATTCAAATGGGTACCTGACTCACGTCATAAGTCACCCAATTCAAATGGGTACCTGACTCACGTCATAAGTCACCCAATTCAAATGGGTACCTGACTCAAGTAAAGACGACTGTGCATAGTGCCGACCACACCAACATATCAGGACATAGCCCACATAAACTAAATGTGTATGAGACGTCTTATGTACCCCCCTTCCCACCCACCCACCACCCACCCCCACCACCCACCCCTCAAGATTTATAGTTTTGATTTTTTTCACCGCACGAGACGTCTATGATACATATACACAACAAACAGGAAACAGATAATTACTACTACATTGCTACATAGTACAAAATCAGCAGCATTTTATTTGGTTCATAACTTTTAAAACTTTTATCACTTAAATATATATCACAGCATATCTTATAATCAGAGCTTCCCACGCCCCCCCCCCCCTCCCACCCCGTAGCACGCCACACCTTTCCCCAAACACAAAATAGAAAAACTTGTAAAGAAAATATAGACTTTACCATCGACTCATAATTTGACGAAGTTACGGTCCAGAGACAGTTAACCTCCCTCGCAACAACTTCATAGGTTTAGAATAGTGCAGTAAATCATCAGATAAAATTATTTTTCCACGCTCCAGAAATAAAAACAGAAAAAGTGATGGTACAATTGTAAACGTTTAATGGAATCTTGGAGGAGATCTACAACGGTGCAACACACTCGAAACCCTGCCATGCACACCTGGGGCTGCCGATAGGTTCACATACACCTGCACAGAAGAAAGTGTTAGGTGAATTACAGGGAAAACCTGACGCATTGACTGTCTAGTGAATACATGATGGGACGGTGTATTGAAATGTTAGCGAGTTTGGCCCGAAGGTCTCGAGTTCGGATCTCGGTGCGACTCGTGACTGCATGTTTTTGAGTGCACCCAGCTCTCATCAAGATTGGGTACCTGATTATCGTTATGGAAATCTCATCAAGATTGGGTACCTGATTATCGTTATGGAAACACAGACGGCTAGTCATAGTAGTGACCACGCTGTTCCTTCATAAGTCGAGGTCGTTAAAACAGATGAACTCTACTTCATCTGCTCCGTGGGCCTTAGGAACGGACGAAAAAAGTTTGCGATGAATTTAAAAAATAATAAATGTTTCTGTTTCTAGCAGTAAGCGTTGTTACAATAATGATAGTGTTCTAATTTTTACAATCTTTTCTGAGTGTGTCAATGAGATACGATTATAGAACAGCTGTATTACACCGTAAAAGTTAACACATTCTGAATTACAGTGGTAACCCAAAGAACTACAACATCTGTAATGAGGGCCTTGCGTTTTGTGAAAGGGGTGTGTGAGGGGTGTTTGTGGGTCTGTGAATGTATTACCTGGGTCTGTGAATGTATTACCTGGGTCTGTGAATGTATTACCTGGGTCTGTGAATGTATTACCTGGGTCTGTGATTGTATTACCTGGGTCTGTGAATGTATTACCTGGGTCTGTGAATGTATTACCTGGGTCTGTGAATGTATTACCTTGGTCTGTGAATGTATTACCTGGGTCTGTGAATGTATTACCTGGGTCTGTGAATGTATTACCTGGGTCTGAGAATGTATTACCTGGGTCTGTGAATCTATTACCTGGGTCTGTGAATGTATTACCTGGGTCTGTGAATGTATTACCTTGGTCTGTGAATGTATTACCTGGGTATGTGAATGTATTACCTGGGTCTGTGAATGTATTACCTGGGTCTGTGAATGTATTACCTGGGTCTGTGAATGTATTACCTGGGTCTGTGAATGTATTACCTGGGTCTGTGAATGTATTACCTGGGTCTGTGAATGTATTACCTGGGTCTGTGAATGTATTACCTGGGTCTGTGAATGTATTACCTGGGTCTGTGAATGTATTACCTGGATGGGTCTGTGAATGTATTACTTGGGTCTGTGAATGTTTTACCTGGGTCTGTGAATGTATTACCTGGATGGGTCTGTGAATGTATTACCTGGGTCTGTGAATGTATTACCTGGGTCTGTGAATGTATTACCTGGGTCTATGATTGTATTACCTGGGTCTGTGAATCTATTACCTGGGTCTGTGAATGTATTACCTGTTTCTGTGAATGTATTACCTGGGTCTGTGAATGTGTTACCTGGGACTGTGATTGTACTACCTGGGTCTGTGAATGTTTTAACTGGGTCTGTGAATGTATTACCTGGATGGGTCTGTGAATGTATTACCTGGGTCTGTGAATGTATTACCTGGGTCTGTGAATGTATTACCTGAGTCTGTGATTGTATTACCTGGGTTTGTGAATGTATTACCTGGGTCTGTGATTGTATTACCTGGGTCTGTGAATGTATTACCTGGGTCTGTGAATGTATTACCTGGGTCTGTGAATGTATTACCTGGGTCTGTGAATGTATTACCTAGGTCTGTGAATGTGTTACCTGGGACTGTGATTGTATTACCTGGGTCTGTGAATGTATTACCTGGGTCTATGAATGTATTACCTGGGTCTGTGAATGTATTACCTGGGTCTGTGAATGTATTACCTGGGTCTGTGAATGTATTACCTGGGTCTGTGAATGTATTACCTTGGTCTGTGAATGTATTACCTGGGTATGTGAATGTATTACCTGGGTCTGTGAATGTATTACCTGGGTCTGTGAATGTATTACCTGGGTCTGTGAATGTATTACCTGGGTCTGTGAATGTATTACCTGGGTCTGTGAATGTATTACCTGGGTCTGTGAATGTATTACCTGGGTCTGTGAATGTATTACCTGGGTCTGTGAATGTATTACCTGGGTCTGTGAATGTATTACCTGGGTCTGTGAATGTATTACCTGGATGGGTCTGTGAATGTATTACTTGGGTCTGTAAATGTTTTACCTGGGTCTATGAATGTATTACCTGGATGGGTCTGTGAATGTATTACCTGGGTCTGTGAATGTATTACCTGGGTCTGTGAATGTATTACCTGGGTCTATGATTGTATTACCTGGGTCTGTGAATCTATTACCTGGGTCTGTGAATGTATTACCTGTTTCTGTGAATGTATTACCTGGGTCTGTGAATGTGTTACCTGGGACTGTGATTGTACTACCTGGGTCTGTGAATGTATTACCTGGGTCTGTGAATGTATTACCTGGGTCTGTGAATGTATTACCTGGGTCTGTGAATGTATTACCTGGGTCTGTGAATGTATTACCTGAGTCTGTGATTGTATTACCTGGGTTTGTGAATTTATTACCTGGGTCTGTGAATGTATTACCTGGGTCTGTGAATGTATTACCTGGGTCTGTGAATGTATTACCTGAGTCTGTGAATGTATTACCTGAGTCTGTGAATTTATTACCTGGGTCTGTGATTGTATTACCTGGGTCTGTGAATGTATTACCTGGGTCTGTGAATGTATTACCTGGGTCTGTGAATGTATTACCTGGGTCTGTGAATGTATTACCTGGGTCTGTGAATGTATTACCTGGGTCTGTGAATGTATTACCTGGGTCTGTGAATGTATTACTTGGGTCTGTGAATGTATTACCTGGATGTGTCTGTGAATGTATTACCTGGATGTGTCTGTGAATGTATTACCGGGGTCTGTGAATGTATTACCTGGGTCTGTGAATGTATAACTTGGGTCTGTGAATGTATTACCTGGGTCTGTGAATGTATTACCTGGATCTGTGAATGTATTACCTGGGTCTGTGAATGTATTACCTGGTTCTGTGAATGTATTACCTGGGTCTATGAATGTATTACCTGGGTCTGTGAATGTATTACCTGGATGTGTCTGTGAATGTATTACCTGGGTCTGTGAATGTATTACCTGGGTCTGTGAATGTATTACCTGGGTCTGTGAAGGTATTACCTGGGTCTGTGAATGTATTACCTGGGTCTGTGAATGTATTACCTGGGTCTGTGAATGTATTACCTGGGTCTGTGAATGTATTCCCTGGGTCTATGAATGTATTACCTGGGTCTGTGAATGTATCACCTGGGTCTATGAATGTATTACCTGGGTCTGTGAATGTATTACCTGGGTCTGTGAATGTATTACCTGGATGTGTCTGTGAATGTATTACCTGGGTCTGTGAATGTATTACCTGGGTCTGTGAATGTATTACCTGGGTCTGTGAAGGTATTACCTGGGTCTGTGAATGTATTACCTGGGTCTGTGAATGTATTACCTGGGTCTGTGAATGTATTACCTGGGTCTGTGAATGTATTACCTGGGTCTGTGAATGTATTACCTTGGTCTGTGAATGTATTACCTGGGTATGTGAATGTATTACCTGGGTCTGTGAATGTATTACCTGGGTCTGTGAATGTATTACCTGGGTCTGTGAATGTATTACCTGGGTCTGTGAATGTATTACCTGGGTCTGTGAATGTATTACCTGGGTCTGTGAATGTATTACCTGGGTCTGTGAATGTATTACCTGGGTCTGTGAATGTATTACCTGGGTCTGTGAATGTATTACCTGGGTCTGTGAATGTATTACCTGGATGGGTCTGTGAATGTATTACTTGGGTCTGTAAATGTTTTACCTGGGTCTATGAATGTATTACCTGGATGGGTCTGTGAATGTATTACCTGGGTCTGTGAATGTATTACCTGGGTCTGTGAATGTATTACCTGGGTCTATGATTGTATTACCTGGGTCTGTGAATCTATTACCTGGGTCTGTGAATGTATTACCTGTTTCTGTGAATGTATTACCTGGGTCTGTGAATGTGTTACCTGGGACTGTGATTGTACTACCTGGGTCTGTGAATGTATTACCTGGGTCTGTGAATGTATTACCTGGGTCTGTGAATGTATTACCTGGGTCTGTGAATGTATTACCTGGGTCTGTGAATGTATTACCTGAGTCTGTGATTGTATTACCTGGGTTTGTGAATTTATTACCTGGGTCTGTGAATGTATTACCTGGGTCTGTGAATGTATTACCTGGGTCTGTGAATGTATTACCTGAGTCTGTGAATGTATTACCTGAGTCTGTGAATTTATTACCTGGGTCTGTGATTGTATTACCTGGGTCTGTGAATGTATTACCTGGGTCTGTGAATGTATTACCTGGGTCTGTGAATGTATTACCTGGGTCTGTGAATGTATTACCTGGGTCTGTGAATGTATTACCTGGGTCTGTGAATGTATTACCTGGGTCTGTGAATGTATTACTTGGGTCTGTGAATGTATTACCTGGATGTGTCTGTGAATGTATTACCTGGATGTGTCTGTGAATGTATTACCGGGGTCTGTGAATGTATTACCTGGGTCTGTGAATGTATAACTTGGGTCTGTGAATGTATTACCTGGGTCTGTGAATGTATTACCTGGATCTGTGAATGTATTACCTGGGTCTGTGAATGTATTACCTGGTTCTGTGAATGTATTACCTGGGTCTATGAATGTATTACCTGGGTCTGTGAATGTATTACCTGGATGTGTCTGTGAATGTATTACCTGGGTCTGTGAATGTATTACCTGGGTCTGTGAATGTATTACCTGGGTCTGTGAAGGTATTACCTGGGTCTGTGAATGTATTACCTGGGTCTGTGAATGTATTACCTGGGTCTGTGAATGTATTACCTGGGTCTGTGAATGTATTCCCTGGGTCTATGAATGTATTACCTGGGTCTGTGAATGTATCACCTGAGTCTGTGATTGTATTACCTGGGTTTGTGAATTTATTACCTGGGTCTGTGAATGTATTACCTGGGTCTGTGAATGTATTACCTGGGTCTGTGAATGTATTACCTGAGTCTGTGAATGTATTACCTGAGTCTGTGAATTTATTACCTGGGTCTGTGATTGTATTACCTGGGTCTGTGAATGTATTACCTGGGTCTGTGAATGTATTACCTGGGTCTGTGAATGTATTACCTGGGTCTGTGAATGTATTACCTGGGTCTGTGAATGTATTACCTGGGTCTGTGAATGTATTACCTGGGTCTGTGAATGTATTACTTGGGTCTGTGAATGTATTACCTGGATGTGTCTGTGAATGTATTACCTGGATGTGTCTGTGAATGTATTACCGGGGTCTGTGAATGTATTACCTGGGTCTGTGAATGTATAACTTGGGTCTGTGAATGTATTACCTGGGTCTGTGAATGTATTACCTGGATCTGTGAATGTATTACCTGGGTCTGTGAATGTATTACCTGGTTCTGTGAATGTATTACCTGGGTCTATGAATGTATTACCTGGGTCTGTGAATGTATTACCTGGATGTGTCTGTGAATGTATTACCTGGGTCTGTGAATGTATTACCTGGGTCTGTGAATGTATTACCTGGGTCTGTGAAGGTATTACCTGGGTCTGTGAATGTATTACCTGGGTCTGTGAATGTATTACCTGGGTCTGTGAATGTATTACCTGGGTCTGTGAATGTATTCCCTGGGTCTATGAATGTATTACCTGGGTCTGTGAATGTATCACCTGGGTCTATGAATGTATTACCTGGGTCTGTGAATGTATTACCTGGGTCTGTGAATGTATTACCTGGATGGGTCTGTGGTGCCACGATGTTACCAGGACGGTCTGGCGTCCACCTGCAGTTGGGGTCACCAAGCTCTTGACCATTGGACAGCCCGTCAAGGTCTGAATCCTTCAGGCACAAGGCTAGTGTCCAGGTGTGACCAGCGGCAGCAAAGTCCTGGAATTAATCAATAAAGACGTCAAATGAGAGTAGGTTTTAGTCACATATACCTGTGTATGGCGGCACCATATAATAATTAACATACACCAAAATACACCAACATACACCACAACACTGCACTGTTTACCAGCAGATGCAGACTGTTTATGAGCCATTGGATAACTGGTTAAATTTGTTTCAAATGTTATGGCTGGATGACCCTCAATAGTTGTTTGATTTTTTCCAATGTTATATTTAAGAACTATGAAGAATTTAATATTGTAGTATAAAATTAATGACTTTATACGCAACAACATTGGTTAGATAATTAAATACAACACCAACGGTTAGATAAGTTGATACATCAGCATCGATTAGATATTTAGATACATATTATTGATTAGATCATTACATATAACAAAATTGGTTAAACACTAGATACAACAGCATCGGTTAGATAAGTTTATACAGCATCATTTATTGCATAATCAGATTACAACAACATTGATCAAATCACTAGATACAACATTAGTTAGATGACTAAATACAACAACTTACAAGGCCGAACTCGTTACGAGGACCAGAGCCATCTGCAAGAAAGTGGCCCACACCTGCCCAGTAGCCAATCAGGCAAGGATGAGGAACCAGGTGACCGTTAGGGATGGCGTTCTGGTACTGTAAGAAAGCAGACGATAGGCTCAGGGTAGCGAGCAAGATGGCGGCTGTCAACATCTTGACTCTAAGGAAAATTAAATTTGAAAAATATCATGTACGCATCTACACACACACACACACACACACACACACTCATATATATATATATATATATATATATATATATATATATATATATATATATATATATATATATATATATATATATCCATTGGATGAGACCAACCTTTTTGGACCAAAAAGAAATGAGAATGCTGGCAACTGGTTGAAGATAAACCTAAAAAAAGGAAATGACCTAATAAATTTCAATCCTTATCTTCAGTAATGTGACTGGCCTACGGGTAGCCTCTAGTGTGTGCACACGTTTGGTTTAGTTTGTCTGTACCGTCAAAGCTTATCTTGCTGTGTTGTCGTGTTAACTGATGCTGCAACTAGGTTAGTGTTACTGTGTGGCGCAGCGAGAGGGTGTGTTGGGGTCAGGGGCGGAACTACAGTGCCGCCAGACCCCGCAATGCGGGGGGGGGGGGCCACGCCATTTAGGGGCCCACGGCCGACCATAAAAAAAATTGTTATAGTTAAAAAAAATGTTCTTGCATTTTTGGCTTAATGTTCGTTTTGTAAAAAAAGATTACCGTAGCTGCGGTTGGATTATCTTTATTCTATAGACACCACCCCACGCTAATTTTTCCTTCGTTTTTAAACCACTGTGAAAGCCGAGTCATCTTTCTCCTACAATGAAACTTATCAAAGATAAGCAAACGTTCAAACCACTTCCATGACTTATTTCCCTTTTTTTAGTCAAATAGTGATGCTCATAAGCCTCTTTTTAATAGAGTTGTACTAAACAAATTAAAAAGCAATTACTTCTCTTTATTATTATTTGTTTATAAATTACTTACTAAAGAATGACACTGTATAAAAAGAAAATGTATTTAAAATTAATAAAATAAATACAAAAAACCTTAAAAATAAACATGACACGAGACACCATTATTTACAGAAAGCTTTCATGTTTTATATTCTTTTGACCGATGAGTGGTTAAATGTCTTACGGCAAAGTTAATATAAAACTGATTTTCACAAAACAGACTAATGCACTTACACTAGTGAATGTAATTTGTTTTAATTAAGAAAATACCCACGTATTTCTCATAACACGAACAGGCCAACATGAATAAGTATCCTGTGTTCGTATGTTGTGTTTGAGTATATATATATATATATATATATATATATATATATATATATATATATATATATATATATATATATATATATACATATACATATATATATATATATATACATATATAGGTCTATATATTTAAATGGGGGGGCCTAAAAAAATTTTTTGCGGGGTGGCCCCTTTTTTCTAGTTCCGCCACTGGTTGGGGTCCGTCACTCCCAGGCGAATTCTTAACAAGATTTAATAGGGGCAATACTATTTTTATACTAGTTAAAACAGATAACTTAAATTTTTGAGTTAACGATTTAAAACTTAAAAAATAAAAAATAAAATCATGTATGTCAAGATTTTTTTTTTATATGCACTAAAAATGTTGTTCTTTTTTTAGTTTTTGCCTTCTTCTTTTTTTTTTTTTTTTGGCGTGTTCGTGTGCCCAGTGATTAGAATGACACAGCTATAAATATAAATAAAGGCATTTGACCTCAAAGATGTTATATTTATCTAACATTCGTATCAATCGCCGGAGTTAAAAGAATAAAACTTGACGGAGCTAAAAGAATAAAATTTCAAGATTTTAAAAACTTTCAGATTTGACCTAACTATAACAAATAAGTTTTTTTTTCTACTCTTTTTTGTTTATCACACATGTAATTGACATGTAATGGACATGTAATTAACATGTAATTGAGATGTAATGGACATGTAATTGACAATATCAGTCTTGACTCTCTGTAAGGTTTTCTTATCATTGATGCTTATATCCTCTACCCAAAGAAACAACAAATAGAAATTGTCTGAGGTAAAAATATAAACACGTGCACTGTAAGTAGCCCTATGCTACAAAAGATGGAAATTCGCTTCAAACTCTATTCTTCGCTTTAATAATAATCATTATTTTCATAGACTAACCCTAACGCTAAAGCTACCCTTAACGCATTACACTAGCTCTTATTTAAATATAAATCATTAAAGACTTACTTTTTGTAAGCATTTTGCATTAAAACAAGTTAATTAAAAATCCTAGTGACATTTAAGCGCAATTTCCTTATGTTATCTAAAAATAGCTCTGTCGTAGCGTAAATCAAGAGCAGGGTTAGTAAAACCATTGGTTAAAATACATGTTTTATTTACAACGAGCCGACCCGCTGCGTATCATACGCCGCTATTTAGTTGTTTTTTTTTCTACTTTTCAGTAATTTATAATTTGCGAATTCGACAGTACCAATGCTGCCATTGAAAATATTTGCTTAAAAACACTACCCCCCCCCCCCCCACGTGAAAGCAGCCTCCTCTTAGTTACCTCCTCTAAGTTTAAAATCGTTTCAAACTAAATTATCTGCCCCTAATAGCCGTTACCAAACCGGTCTCTGTGATTGTAAAATGTAAACAGAGTGAACACAACTCACCAGACAATGTGGGGGCGGGGTGGGGGTGGTTGTGATATTGATATAGAGGAAGAGAGGGGACTGTAAGGCGAGGTTGCAGCTTGTTTTCTAACGGCTCGAAGAAGAGAATTATATATATAGAGTTACATGACTAAAAACCATTGCGCGCCTAGCTACTGAACGTGATGACGCAGCCATTGAACGTGATGGCGCAGCTATTGAACGTGATGACGAGTGTGGTGTGGTTGGATAAAATGCCTACTAATTCGGTCCAAATTTTAATTAATTCAAAAAAAATTTGTGACCGAACGAAAGGATATTTTTGAAAACTTTCTTCGGCAATATTGTTCTAAATTATGGCAGGAATCGATTGGTACATGTTTCAAGCCGCTAAGTGGTCTGGTTGCCGAGATATGGGCCAAAAATTGCATTTTTTCGAGGTTTTTTTTTTTGCTTTTCCGGGAAATCCATGAAAGAAACTCGAAATTTTTTTGGCCTATGTTCATCCTGGTAACTTGCTTAAGATATTTGCTTTGGAACTAGTCCTCGATATTGCTTCGTTGAGGAGGAGATACGACTTAAAGCTGCGGACACACATCCATCCATCCATTCATCCATTCCCAGAAAAGACGAGTTAATAAACGCAATTCTCCAGAATGGAAATTGCGCTAAAAAAACAATCACTATAGTTATCTTCAGTCCCGAGCCCTTAACTTCATTGATAGCTGCCGTTACTTTCTACTAATCCACGCCGACACTTGATACAAGATAATCCAAAGCGATATTTTTATTTGCAGGAACATTTGTAAACAGCTGTTAAATGAAAATAATTTTAATATCTGAGTACTATTTACCAGCCTTGGGCTAGGAAAAAACACATTATGGGAATCGTGGGATTTAAAATGTTCAGTTAGTTTAAAAGTAAAAGTTCCTTTTTCAAACCCGACGGTAGAGTTCACTTGTTTCTGTGACCACGGCATATGAAGAGATAGTGTGGTCAGCACTATGCCCAGCCGCCTTTACTTTCCCTAACGTCAGTTAGGTACCCATCAGAGTTGGGTGGACTCAGGGACGGTCTACTGACTTGAACCCGGAATCGAACTCGAGACTTACGGTTTAGTAGTCCAGCCCTCTACCGCTAGACCACTCCGTCCCATAAACATAGTAACCTAGCCATGCAGTGCTGCAGTCCCTCAAACAACTGGACCCCACGGGCTGACCAGGCTGACCCTGGTCAGTTTATTGTTGTGTTAAATCGTGATACAGGTGAGATGGGTCAGGCTGGCTACACATTAGATCTGAATTTTATCGAATGGTACGGAGCGTGTTTTATCTTTTACTTTCTCGTATACGAAGTATAGAGAACGTATTGTAATCGGGCATATAAAAAATAGAGATTTTTGCAAATCTCGACGTTTTACACCTCCCTGAATCGGAAAAACACGATAACTTGAGTCCAGTTACAGGTAGGTTGATGAAATTTCATATATAAGTATTATATCAAATTTGTTGTTATGTATCAACTTTTCAGCGATTTCCAGTAACTACTTTCAATTTTTCCAAAGCCTATAACTTGAGTATTGCTTCAGATAGAAGAACAAAATTTCACAAGTAAGTAAAAGATCTAATTTTCTGCCTTCTTTCAAATTTTGAGTAATTTCCGCTGACCGGAAGTAGTAATTTACGCTGTTTCCGATTTCTCAAAAAACGCATGTGAATTTATAAAGTACTAATAATATTCCGAACTATTATACACTTTTTGTTTGGCGTTAACTTTGGTCTACGAGATTCTATTCTATTTTTAAAAGTTTAAGTAATTAAAAATGGATTAAAAATCATGTCTATATCCCGCGTAGTGTTACATAAGAATATACAAGAAAGTTTAGGGGAGATCACTCCCGGTTTTTTTTTTTTTACTTTTTTTACATAGCTCCTGATATATAGATTAAATGAATGAATATGTAATTCAAACTTAGACTTGTTACTTATTTTAGTTCAAAATTATAATATCATAAAATTGTTTCTACAACAACGTGCGTGTCTGATCTTCAGGTAGAAAATTAAATGTACTACCTAGGAATAAATCAACAGTACACCAGAAACTAGAACAAAATGTTCAATGTAAAGCATGGAATAAATCAACAGTACAACGATAAGTAGATCTAATGTACCCCAGAAAGTAGAGCAAAATGTTCAATGTACAAAAAAGAATAGATGAAATATTGAAACACACATGTACAAGATAAATGCATGATTTTATTGTAACAATCCATCCCTGCCTACATGAAACTGTAGGCACATTAACACAAGTTCGTCCATCTTGTTTCAAGCACATGAAAACGCCTGCCATGCGCACTGAGCACTTCCGATAGGTTCACAGATACCTGCAAGAGAAAATTATTTTATCGTTGTTTTTTTTTACAGTTCTAACACTGTTTTATGACGTAGATAAACGAATCAACACTAGGGAAATGTTTATATTATTGGTGACATATATCAGCTTTTAATAAGATGATCTAGATTATCGATCATGTTTTACTGTTTTATTTGGGGGGTTAATAATTATCGTGGGAGGGTAGGCCGAGGAAGGCAGTCAATGCCCTAAGACAGACCATCAAGATGGTACTACAGCTTATATTTTAAAAAACAAGAGAGTGCGCTAGATTTGTAAGAGAATGTGTGAGGGAGAACGTGTGTGGGAAATAATGCGTGTGAGAGAGTGTATGTTAGTGAAAGTGTGTGGGAGAGAATATGTGGGAGAACATGTGTGGTAGAACATGTGTGAGGGATAAAATACGTCACCTGGGTGTGTCATGGGGGCGTCCAGGGTGGCCCCGTTGGTGGGCGTCCACCTACAGTTGCGGTCCCCCAGCTCCTGGCCGTTGGTGCGTCCGTCCTTGTCTGAGTCCATGTTACACAGGGCGGGGGTCCACACGTGACCAGCGGCAGCAAAGTCCTGGGTAGGACAAGAATAGGGGTCATGATAAGTAATGGGGAGGACAAAATTAAAGGTCATGTTATGTCCTGTGTAGGACGAGATTAGACGCCAAGCTAGATTTATCAACAATATTTGCTTGCTAAAATAACCAGCTTTGTTCCTGTGGTACCATTTATTTAATACACCGGAAACTATGTTGACCTTTAAAGCAATACAAAGCTAGTCATTGATAAGCTAAGTGGTTATCTAACTCAATTAAAAATCATATATATATATATATATATATATATATATATATATATATATATATATATATATATATATATATATATATATATGGGTGCTCCTGGTCACCCGACCACCGAGGCGCCATCTTATCCATCTAATGTAGTTCTGTCTTTGAATCTAGAAGTACTCCTGACTCCCTGTGTATAAAGCTCTCTCGACAGATTTTAGGTGCCAAATTTTTGGGAAACTCTGGGCTTTACGTGTATCAGACTAATTTTAAGTGTGTTATGTCTGACGAACCTCAAATGAGGGATTCCTTAACATATTACTAGTTATTAATTCAAAAGGTGTATCTAGCCTACTCCACACTTAGGTTTTATTATTCAAGAAATTTTCATGGACAAAGGGAAAAAAACAAGTTAATATTTTTGTAAAATATTCCATGCGCAGTTATCTTTCTATTTTTTTCCAGCCTATGCCAAGGTTAGATTTTATTATTCATGAAATTTTCATGCCCAGTTATCTTTCTATTTTTTCTAGCCCGTTCCACATTTAGATTTTATTATTCATGAAATTTTCATAGACAACGGGAAAAAAACCAAGTTAATATTTTTGCAAAATACTCCATGCGCAGTTATCTTTCTATTTTTTTTCTAGCCCATTCCAAAATTTGATTTTATTATTCATGAAATTTTCATGGACAAAGGGAAAAAAACCAAGTTAATATTTTTTGCAAAATATTTCATGCGCAGTAATCTTTTTATTTTTTCTTGCCCATTCCACATTTAGATTTTATTATTCAAGAAATGTTCATGGACAAAGGAAAAAAAAACCAAGTTAATATTTTTGCAAAATATTCCATGCGCAGTTAACTGTCTATTTTTTTCTAGCCTATTCAAAAGTTTGATTTTATTATTCATGAAATTTTCATGGACAAAGGGAAAAAACCAAGTTAATATTTTTGCAGATTATTCCATGCGCAGTTATCTTTCTAATTTTTCTAGCCCATTCCACATTTAGATTTTATTATTCATGAAATTTTCATAGACAAAGGGGAAAAAAAACAAGTTAATATTTTTTGCAAAATATTCCATGCGCAGTTATCTTTCTATTTTTTTCGAGCCTATTCCAAAGTTAGATTTTATTATCCATGAAATTTTCATGGACAAAGGGAAAAAACCAAGTTAATATTTTTTGCAAAATATTCCATGCGCAGTTATCTTTCTATTTTTTTTTCTAGCCCATTCCAAAATTTGATTTTATTATTCATGAAATTTTCATGGACAAAGGGAAAAAACCAAGTTAATATTTTTTGCAAAATATTTCATGCGCAGTAATCTTTTTATTTTTTCTTGCCCATTCCACATTTAGATTTTATTATTCAAGAAATGTTCATGGACAAAGGAAAAAAAACCAAGTTAATATTTTTGCAAAATATTCCATGCGCAGTTATCTTTCTATTTTTTTTAGCCCTTTCCACAGATTTTATTATTCATGAAATGTTCATGGACTACGGGAAAAAAACCAAGTTAATATTTTTTTTTAAATATTCCATGCGCAGTTATCTTTCTAGTGTATCTTGCCCATTTCACATTAATTTAGATTTTATATTCAAGAAATTTTCATGGACAAAGGGAAAAAAATAAGTACCGAAATGGTTTTTTATATAGAAACTTTTCTATGTGTACTCCCATAAAAGTTTGTAATGTTTCATAGCTATCGGATGAAAGTTGTAGTAATCCATTAAAGATAAACCAAATGCCTGATAGTCAGATGCAGCACGGGGCGCGCTCGGGAGCCACTGGGATTCCTGGTACTGTTCAGTCATTGAATATGGGGTCTAATGTGTTTGTAGTGTAGGGAGCTCTTCCAAACCAATGTAGTCGCCATAGTGTTCATGGGGGAGCCGGGAGAGATCGCCCGATTCAATTTAGTGAACGATTTTAGTTGTCCATCATATTCATAGTGTATTGCATTCTTTATAATTAGCGTAGGCGCCATAATGCTACCAGAGAAGCTCCAAGTGCTCAAGATCACCCAAACACCGGAGGGGGGGGGGGGGGAGGGGGGCTGATACGCCGGGGGCAGTTTGACCGTTTCATGAGGTAAACCCCTGACTCCCTGTTCTGAACACCCAATCAACAAACGCCAGGTGCTTTGATAGCCGCTGGTGAATTATGTACACCAAATTGCACCCTGCGCCACCCAGACATACAGACCTTCTATCATATATATATATATATATATATATATATATATATATATATATATATATATATATATATATATATATATATATATATTTATGTATATTTAAGATTGATTATATTATAAACTAACTGCCGTTTTAGACTGAGAAGACAAAAGATATTATTAAACTTCTTACGATGCCAAATTCGTTTCTGGCTCCCGTACCGTGAGACGTGTAATGCCCCACCCCGGGCCAGAGACCAATGAGACAAGGGTTGGGCACAAAGTCACCGTTGGGGATGGCGTTCTGGTACCGGATGAAAGCTGAGGCCAGACCCAGACAAGCGAGGGATAGGACGAGTCGCAGCATGATGTCTGGGGAAGAACAAAACAATTTCAGCGCTCTGAGCTCTGCGATATAACCTGAGTAAAATGTGAAGTTTTTAAAACTAAAACAAACAAACCTTTTGAGAGAATGGAGTACGGCGCTCTTCAAGCTATGTTTGTTCTGAAAAGATCCAGATGGAGGCTTTCGTGTGAGGTAATGTTAGAACGTGCGCAAAAGATTTTTTTATTGCTTATCTTAGACAATTTAATGGTGACCTACTGACATAAAACGTGCAGACAACATGGTCTAGTCGTGTTGTAAGCTCTTTTTTAGAGCTATAAATAAATTTTGTTTTAAGGTTGTGACAGTGCGTGTGGCTGGACCAATTTTTCTTGTACAAAAACTAGCACAAGTTCAAATTGTTGGACATCCCAGTTTGTGTCGGTCAGTTCATGGCAGACTGCGAGTGATACATGTCCAAATGTCATCCTGATGTCAAGCTTAATTGTCGTAACATTGTAGGGCAACGGAAAATTCCTGATGGTGAAGCATTTCAGGCTTTAAGTTTGGATGGTCAGTTGATGGTTCATGATGACCAGTACATGTTAACCACCACATGTTGACCAAAGCACATGTTGACCAAAGCACAGGTTGACCAGAGCACATGTTGACCAGCACATGTTGACCACAGCATATGATGACCAGTACATGTTGACCAGTACATGTTGACCAGTACATGTTGACCAGTACATGATGACCAGTACATGTTGACCAGAATATGTTGACCAGTACATGATGACCAGTACATGTTGACAAGTACATGTTGACCAGTACATGTTGACCAGTACATGTTGTCCAGTACATGTTGACCAGTACATGTTGACCAGTACATGATGACCAGTACATGTTGACCAGTACATGATGACCAGTACATGTTGACAAGTACATGTTGACCAGTACATGTTGACCAGTACATGTTAACCAGTACATGTTGTCCAGTACATGTTGACCAGTACATGTTGACCAGTACATGATGACCAGTACATGTTGACCAGTACATGTTGACCACAGTACATGTTGACCAGTACATGTTGACCACATCACATGTTGACCAGTACATGTTGACCAGTACATGTTAACCAGTACATGTTGACCAGCACATGTTGACCAGTACATGTAGACCAGCGCATGTTGACCAGTACATGTTGACCACATCACATGTTGACCAGTACATGTTGACCAGTACATGATGACCAGTACATGTTGACCACATCACATGTTGACCAGTACATGTTAACCAGTACATGTTGACCAGCACATGTTGACCAGTACATGTTGACCAGCGCATGTTGACCAGTACATGTTGACCAGCGCATGTTGACAAGTACATGTTGACCAGTACATGTTGACCAGTACATGTTAACCAGTACATGTTGACCAGCACATGTTAACCGGTACATGTTGACCACTACATGTTGACCAGTACATGTTGACCAGCACATGTTGACCAGTACATGTTGACCAGCGCATGTTGACCAGTACATGTTGACCAGCGCATGTTGACAAGTACATGTTGACCAGTACATGTTGACCAGCACATGTTAACCGGTACATGTTGACCACTACATGTTGACCAGTACATGTTGACCAGCACATGTTGACCAGTACATGTTGACCAGCGCATGTTGAAAAGTACATGTTGACCAGCGCATGTTGACAAGTACATGTTGACCAGTACATGTTGACCAGTACATGTTAACCAGTACATGTTGACCAGCACATGTTAACCGGTACATGTTGACCACTACATGTTGACCAGTACATGTTGACCAGTACATGTGGACCCGCACATTTTGACCAGCACACAGATCAGTACAGGTTTAATTTAAAAATCTTAATTAAACTGTTAGTGAAGAAACATGATCGCCGTATTTAGGCATTATTATGTTTAAATATAATAACTTTAGTTAATAACAATTTTGATAACAATGTTCAAATATATATATATATATATATATATATATATATATATATATATATATATATATATATATATATATATATATATATATATATATATTAGGTTTCACTCCCCCCACCCCTTTAATTGTGAGCAACTGTATAAATTCGTTTCTCGTATCTTCTATATATCTCTACTTTATTAAATAAGGAATAATTCTTTTGTCTTCTCAGAGGAGTTAACCACGCTTAGATTGTTCTGTTAACAAAATAAACTTGGTTATTTCCCTTTGACCATAAAAAAAGTTAGTAGAGATATTTGAAATTCTGCTGAAAGTTGAGTGCTGTAGAACGACACGAGTTTTCTTGCGGCTACCTAAATATCTGGGGAAAGTAGATTGGGCGTGCAAAGTTTACCAGTGTCCGCCGTCCATGCAGTCATGTCCAGGAGGACACCAGACTCACCAAAGATACACAACGCCGCCAGCTTACATAGCTCAAAACACACAACTTACAAAACACTTAATGCCAACTTAACTACAACAAAATAGCAACCCTTTTAGGTCAGCAACACAACATAGCTGTGAATAACTCAAGCACATAAATGAAATAATGTTTTTGAATCAATTATTGTTAAGAATATATTTTATTCATAGTTTTCTATCAGATACATCAATCAATACATCAGTTTTGTGGTTACAGGGGCTCTGGGCAGACTATGCCCTGAAAGGCACACTTAGAACTTCCAATTGGTTCGCAGATACCTGTCAGATAAAAGATAAAAATAGTTTAGGACTCGTGAAATGATGACTATAGTTTACGTTATAGTCAAGGTCTCAATATAATAGAAAGTGGCATGTAGTCTGATCTAAGAATAAATTGTCTGAATGGGTGGATTTGTTATCTAGGAGGGTCATATAGTATTTTACCTGGGTCTGTAAATGTATTACCTGGGTCTGTAAATGTATTACCTGGGTCTGTGAATGTATTACCTGGGTCTGTGAATGTATTACCTGGGTCTGTGAATGTATTACCTGGGTCTGTAAATGTATTACCTGGGTCTGTAAATGTATTACCTGGGTCTGTAAATGTATTACCTGGATGGGTCTGTGAATGTATTACCTGGGTCTGTGAATGTATTACCTGGGTCTGTGAATGTATTACCTGGGTCTGTGAATGTATTACCTGGGTCTGTGAATGTATTACCTGGGTCTGTGAATGTATTTCCTGGGTCTGTGAATGTATTACCTGGGTCTGTAAAAGTATTACCTGGATGGGTCTGTGGTGCCACGATGTTACCAGGACGGTCTGGCGTCCACCTGCAGTTGGGGTCACCGAGCTCTTGACCATTGGTCAGCCCGTCAAGGTCTGAATCTTTCTGGCACAAGGCTAGAGTCCAGGTGTGGCCAGCGGCAGCAAAGTCCTGGAATAAATCAATTAATTGATCACGTGGGGTGTTGTCAGATGTCTTATATATCACTCTTTTGGGGGTCATCCATAAATGACGTCACACTCGTAGTGGGGAGGGGGGTCCGTAATTTTGTGATGATGTGTGATGAGGGGGAGGGGAGGGGGGGGGGGGGTTCAGATGTTGTGACGTCACACTTTTGCATTATAAAAAAGCAATGTTAGAAAACGAAATTTAGACGTTATTCCGCGTTTTAGATAACTGTTTTAATAAATTGTAATAGTTTAGACAAGATTTTAGAAAAATATCGATGTTTTAAAAAAATTCAACTGCAATTTTGAGGGGGGTTGTAGGTTGAGGTGTGACGTCATTTTAGGTGGGGGGGTCTGGCTTTTTATGACGACGTGTGACGGAGGGGAGGGGGGAAGGTAAAAATCGTCAAAAAGCGTGACGTCATTTATGGATGACCCCTTTAAACATTCATGGCAGTGTTATATTAAACATTGATGGTAGTGTAACTTCTTGATAACAGACCCATGACATATTTTTATTTTGTTCCAAGCATTTTGTGCTCTGAAACATATGTTAGAAAAGTATTCTCTCTTCATTAGTATATTATTAATTCTTTAACAGCTGAACAGATTTCCATTTTCGACCCATTTGAAAACACGTGCTATAAAGGTAATTTTAAAATAAAAAAACTGTTGCCAAAAAAAAATGTAGTCTTCAGTTATGTGAGGTACATTGAATAAATTACAAACTCACTACGGGCCCACGCAAGATTAGATATAACAGAATGGTTTAGATAAGTTGATCCAACATTGGTTCGATCAAGAAATACAACATTGGTTAGATTACTAGATACAACGTTGGTTAGATCGTTACATACAACATTGGTTAAATCATTAAATACAACATTGGTTAAACAATTAAATACAACAAAATTGAGTATATAATTAGATACAACAACTTACTACACCAAACTCGTTACGAGGACCAGAGCCATCAGCAAGAAAGTGACCCACGCCTCCCCAGTAGCCTATCCGGCATGGATTTGGAACCAGGTAGCCGTTAGGGATGGCGTTCTGGTACTGTATGAAAGCAGACGATAGACCCAATGTAACGAGCAAGATGGCGGCTCTCAGCATATTGGCTGTGAGAAAAAAGGGTTTATTTTATTTATTGTTCACGCCCCTGTAGGGAAATAATTATAGACGTATCTAAAATAATTCAGATTATAACAATAGCAAGCATATATACTCTCTATATATTATATATTATATACTATTATATATATATATATATATATATATATATATATATATATATATATATATATATATATATATATATATATATATATATAAATTTTATGAGACCTACCTTTTGGTTACCTGACTTTTAAAAAAGTGAAAGAAGTTTGTCAATGTGTCTAAGATTGGACAAGAGATAACGTGTAAAATGAATATATCTTTCTTATCTTTGAGATTTATCTATCATCTGCTGTTTTCGTTAATTTTTTAACACTTCTACTATAAGTACATATTTTAGTCGAACAGCTTACCTTTGTCTGTAAGGCAGTGGCGGGGATTGGGGGGGGGGCGCCCCACTCTACCAGTAGCATGAGACTGTATTTATTTATTTTTTTTGGTAGGAAACAAAAAGGGAAATAACTTAGTAGAAGCGATCACTCAATCACTCAGTTTACTTGGTGTTCACAATTATTAATGGGGGGAGGGGGGAGGAGGGGGCGGGACATCAACCGGAATCTATATATATATAAGAGGGACCATGCGGGACACCACGTAAGCACGCCGAATCGCTCCATCCCTCGCTCTCTAGGCATATCGCTACCATCCCCACCACCACCAGTCTGGTGAGCTGTGGTTCAAGCCGAATGTTTTCAATCGTAGAGCCGGGAGAGAATAATCGTCTTTTACGGGTTACTGATAGTGTTTTAAAGCAAAATATTTTCTGTCGTAGTATTGGTAGTGTTGAATTCACAAATTACTGAAAAGTAGAAAATAAACAACTAAATAGCGGTGTATGGTTACGGCGCGGGTCGGCTCGTATATTTATACAGCCATAAACCCAGAGTTTCTTCCTGGCAACTCTTCGGGGGGGGGGGGGGGGGGGGGAGGGGGGGGGGGGGTCGAACGAAATTGAATTTATATAGAAAACATATACTTTTAACAAGTCCCCCTCCCCCCCCCCCCCCCCCCCCCCCCCCGGAGAAAAAAGTCTGGAAGAAACACTGCATAAACTAGCATATCGGTGTAGGCTTAGGCACGTCGAAATTATTTTTTATTATAGCTAGGGAATTTTGATTTTTTATGTAAATATTTTTTTTAAGTTTAAAAAGATAGTTTTTTTAAAAGATATTTTTATGTTTAACAATATAATATTGTTGTTTTCTTTAAGAATAGTTTAAAGGTGTGTTACGGGTGTGTAAATGGTGTGTAAATGGTGTGTAAATGGTGTGTAAAGAATGTAAAGGGTGTTAGCAGACGGTATTCCAGCCTTGAACAAAATGATTATACCTTGAAGCCTCTCTAGTGTAGAGCTCCGCCTTGTTTAAAATGAAAATTATTTGTGTAATGTATTGAACCTTAGTTTGGCCATAAAACTTTTCAATGTGGGTTTGTGGGCCCTAAAACATAGCAGGGTCATTAAACTAAATCAAGGCGTGGAGAGAAACTTAAGTTTAGTTATTTAATTTAATTAGAAAATATTTTACCTTATCTGGTAGATAAACAATAATTTTGCTACAGTAGCGTAGCGAGGGGGGGGGGGGACATATGGGTTGGAAAAATAAATTGAAAGGTTGAGGGGGGTGCAAATCAAAAGTTTGAGGGGGGGTGCAAATCGAAATGTTGATGGGGGGTGCAAATCGAAAAGTTTGTCCCCGGGCGCCGGGAAGGGTCGCTACGCCTCTGGTTGGTTAACATGGTATGGAAAACAAAATGACAAAATAGTCGGACATTTCTATCTGGTGTAGGGGCTAACAGCCGGACATTTCTATCTGGTGTAGGGGCTAACAGTCGGACATTTCTATCTGGTGTAGGGGCCAACAGCGGACATTTCTATCTGGTGTAGGGGCCAACAGCCGGACATTTCTATCTGGTGTAGGGGCCAACAGTCGGACATTTCTATCTGGTGTAGGGGCCAACAGTCGGACATTTCTATCTGGTGTAGGGGCCAACAGTCGGACATTTCTATCTGGTCTAGGGGCCAACAGTCGGACATATCTATCTGGTGTAGGGGCCAACATTCGGACATTTCTATCTGGTGTAGGGGCCAACAGTCGGACATTTCTATCTGGTCTAGGGGCCAACAGTCGGACATATCTATCTGGTGTAGGGGCCAACATTCGGACATTTCTATCTGGTGTAGGGGCCAACAGTCGGTAGGGGCCAACAGTCGGTAGGGGCCAACATTCGGACATTTCTATCTGGTGTAGGGGCCAACAGTCGGACATTTCTATCTGGTGTAGGGGCCAACAGTCGGACATTTCTATCGGGTGGAAACTTAAATACAATCTCTACATGACACTGTACTGTCAAAAACACACAGCTTCCGTTGTTCAGAGATCTAATGGGATGTAATTTAAAAAACCGTTTCAATCCTTTGTTTAGGGTAGCTTTATCCCCTTTGTGTAACAGGAACTATTCAATCAACTTGTATGGAAGGCCGTGTAACATAATATTGTTTGTACGGAAGGCGGTGTAACACGATATCGCTTGTATGGAAGACCGTGCTGCATGCAGCTGATTGTATGAAAGACCTGGTTGAACAACATTAAAAAAAAACTGAACATGAAAATGCAATATTGCCGAACAGGGAAGTTCATGTTGCGCTTGTTTTGTTTTTGTTGGAGATAACCAAAACTGTTGCCGTTTTTTCTTTTCTTCATGAAATGTCCGAAAACCAAATTGCTGTTTGATTACAGTGAGAAATTAATGAAGTGGTGTTTTTTTTTTTTTTGCTCCAAGTCGGCTTGTTGTCAGCATAAGTGTAGAGTGTAGAGGTAAGCTTGACACAGTGGTCAACGTTTGACCTGTGCTTGACATAAAGTCAACGTGTGACCCGTGTAAACAGCACATGAGTAGCGGTCAGCTTGACACAGTGGTCAATGTTTGATCTGTGCTTGACACAGTTGTCAACGTGTGACCCGTGTAAACAGCACATGTGTAGCGGTCAGCCTGATACAGTGGTCATCACGTGACTTTCATTTTCCTAGACTTGTTGCTACCTCTTCGATGTGTCAAGGCGCGGGTTCAAAACCTCACAATTCCAACTTCACTGAACCCGTCAACCCGTCAACCCGTCAACCCGTCAACCCGTCAACCCGTCAACCCGTCAACCCGTCAACCCGTCAACCCGTCAACCCGCCCACGCTGGTTGACACACGCCTGTTTCACAACCAGGTCAACACGTGAGGCAAACCTGGACTGTGATTGGTCAGCATATGACCTTGACCTGCATCTGGCGAAGTTGTCTGACAACAATTTAGATCGGGCTGATTTCTTCTTTGTGAGGACACCACTTGGTAGGTGCAGGACTGATTGCTGTGGTGGCTGTATGGGCAGCTGAAGTAGAGTTCATGTGTGAACTTGGTTAATAAATTTACTTAGGTCTCTGAGGCATGTGGTGGGTGACTCGTGGCTAAATGACCCATGTGTGAGTGACCCATGTGTGAGTGACTCATGGCTAAATGACCCATGTGTGATTGACCCAGGTCTGGGCCCCCCGTCCATCCACCTACACCAGTTGTATATTGGTGGTGTAATTAAAGTCGCTACCCTGCCAGTTATCACACAAGTGGGTATCTGCCAGTTATCACACAAGTTGGTACCCTGCCAGTTATCACATAAGTGGGTACCCTGCCAGTTATCACACAAGTGGGTACCCTGCCAGTTATCACACAAGTGGGTGCACTGCCAGTTATCACACACGTGGGTACACTGCCAGTTATCACACAAGTGGGTAACCTGCCATTTATCACACAAGTGGGTAACCTGCCAGTTATCACACAAGTGGGTAACCTGCCAGTTATCACACAAGCGGTTACCCTGCCAGTTATCATACAAGCGGTTACCCTGCCAGTTATCACACAAGTGGGTACCCTGCCAGTTATCATACAAGTGGGTACACTGCCAGTTATCACACAAGTGGGTACCCTGCCAGTTATCACACAAGCGGTTACCCTGCCAGTTATCACACAAGTGGGTACCCTGCCAGTTATCACACAAGCGGGTACCCTGCCAGTTATCACACAAGTGGGTACCCTGCCAGTTATCACACAAGTGGGTACCCTGCCAGTTATCACACAAGCGGGTACCCTGCCAGTTATCACACAAGTGGGTACCCTGCCAGTTATCACACAAGCGGGTACCCTGCCAGTTAGGAAAGAAATAAAAATATCCGTGGGAGTTGAAACATTTATTGAGCTCTATTTTAACACAACCAAAAAGTTAGCATCTGAAGAATCGTTGCACACATACACATACATACACAACCACACACACAGATTTCACATATCGTCTGGGCTACTTATCGACACGTCACATTTGTCTGTCTGTCACCTCCCTATGGTCACATTTGTCTGTCACCTGTCTCTGTCACCTCCCTATGTCTGATCATTCGATCACGTCACTTAAAACTTCATTCATGTTTTGTATGGTCTGTAAGTTCACTAATAACTTCTCTCTTTTATTAATATGATTTTTTCGACAACTGCAGAAAATGGCGATACATTTTTCTAAATACCATCACCATCCACGGTGTGATTGAAATACCATCACCACCCCACGTGTTGTGACAGGTGACGTGTCTTAAACCCCACCCCCAAACATTGGTTGTCGTCTGTCACGTGACTCAGCCTCTCCCTCGTGTTCAAGATTAGGCCTGGATTTGTGGCCCTCCTAGCTGACTGTTTAGGGCCAACTCAAGCGTGAGATTTGTAAAGTGCTCGATAGCATTTTGCCATCGTTTCAAACAGAAATCCTATCCGTGGGATTAAACTAAAACCGGTCGATGAATTAAGTGTGCTTCACGTCGTTAAAAGCTTAAGACAATTAGATTTTCATCTACAGCAAGAATTAATAAATAGATCTGCTAAACAACTCGTCTACAACATTACGTTACATGTGTTGTAGTCTGCAGATAAAGAGAACCGAAGTTTATAAACGCGTGCCAGCGGTAATCGCTTTAGAATAAAATCTACACAAATAAAATGTGTTTACAATACAAAGGATTTCACTTTTTAGGCTGGGCGGTCTGTGGGGTTAGGGGTGATGGTACGATCCAAAGTCTGGGGGGGGGGGGGGGGGGGGTGAGGGTACTACCTAAAATCTCCAAATAGTCAGATAGTCTTTCTTACAGATGCAAATTCTGTCCTGCAATCCCTAAAAAAATCCAGGATCCTATACTCAATCACTCAGGACAGCCCTTGAATGGCTACCAATACCTGAAGCAAGATTGTGCTGCAGTGGATCCCGGGCCACTGCCAGATACAAGGAAATGAGATCGCGGACCAGCTGGCAAAAATTGGGGGAAAGAAAAAAAACCCAGAAATCTCGCTACATCCAAAAGAAATCAAAAGAATCATAAAAAACAAACAAACACAAATGTGGTCTGATACACACCCACACTTCAAAAAAGACGATGGATACTACAATTTGACACGAAAACAACCATAAATAATCTGTAGACTCAGAACAGGCCACAACCGACTAAAACAGCACATGCATAAACAAATAAAAATTGGCTGTGGCGAAATTTGCCCTTGTGGCAAGGCAACGGAGAATACGGAGCGTGTCCTTCAAGAATGTTCATTATATAGCCAGGCGCGAGCCAAACACTGGCCCCTGCTGACCCCACTCAGGGAAAAACTATATGGGCACCCGCTGATCTGGAGACCACAGTCCAGTACACGAAGTTGGGTTTATTGTTTAAATCCTTAATCATATACTAAATTAAGAACGAAGACGAGAGAAGTTAGTGACATCATCTAAAGCAAACCATTGTCATTTTCTACACATTTATATGCTTTAAAATCAGTTCGAAGGTAAATAAGTGAATATTGATCAAATTTCCTTTTTTCTGAATTCAGACGTTCAATTTTACCACAAATATAGACAAACAGTCACAGATTAACTGTCTTGTCAACTTTGTCAGCACTCTGTAAAAAACAAAAGATTTAGATCTACTTAACTTCTACTCGCTAGGTACGTTTAGCACAGCATCCTAATATATAAATCCCCACGTTCGCACATCTCTCTCTCTCTCTCTTTCTCTGTCCGCAAAAAATTTTCGCCGGACATCACGTCAGAATCGGCAGCGATATATCGAGAACTTTTTACGGACTTTTGTTGAAAATAATATGTTAGATGTTTTAAATGTATAACCACAATTTTAGTTAAAGAAGAAAAATAAAAATTTAAGGCGTATTCGAATGTAGAGAAACAGTATTATTTATGCAACCGGAAAAGCATTAATATATGTGAAAAAGAACGCATAAAACTGTGTCGTCACTATTGCTTATACATTAACTAATGACGTCATCTGCCGTGTTTAGAATGAAAAGAAATGAACTATTTCATTCAAATTTGATTTAGATCTACGTACACTATGAAATGTAGCCTATACAATACAATTTTTCCGGCCTAAACTCATAAAATTTATTTTATTTATTTGGATTCTAGATCTAGATATTCTAGATTCATCTATTCAAATAATACATTTCTATACTAAAGTATTTCAGGCCTTAATTACTTTATTGAAATCTTTGTTTATCTATGCAATTTGCTAATCTCTATAATATATAAAGCAAAGTTGTCGGGTGCCCGACAGGGCACTTCCCGGCGCCGCAGGCGTTTCAAATTTGGCAGGATCTTGCCTTGGGGCGACAGAACACGGTGGCCGGTTGGCCGAAAAGTCTACGATGATGGGGTCAAAACTGACCTCGACTGACCGGCGCCTTATATGAGCTATAAATCGAAAAAAAATGTCCACGGAGGAACCTCTTCATAACTCCTGAGGTCGTAGACCGACCCTCGGGCGAATTAATTAAGCATTCAAATTCTCAATGTTTTCGAAAGCCTAAGCAAAGCTGGGCAGCATGCCTAGTAAATAAATAACAGGCAAGCTTTCCCGATCATTTTAACACAGAACACACTAGCACACACTATACTAGTCACACATAGAGACTATTCACAGATAAAGACTATTCACACATAGAGACTATTCACACATAAAGACTATTCACGCTTCATCACAAGACCAATTTCAGCAGTTCACAGGTTTCGACCATTCTCTCACACTGGTCGGTTGGGAGGGTCGATGATGGACCGGTCAGTTAGACTGGTCGGTTGAATCGGTCCATGACGTGGACCAGCATGTCCACATCCTGCTGCAGACCTTCAGCGACCGCCGCCAGCGCCGTGGTGTGGTCCAGGATCCTGACCGACTGGGTGTAGGGGTCATATCGCAGGTCAAACCTGCGCTCAATGGTGGCGGCGTACTGCCTGGGGAGGTCAAAGGTCACACGGGTCAAGGACATTTTATGTGGCTCAGACAAAAAAATGTATGCTACTGTGAAATGATCTAGGTTTATATATTTATAGATGGCAGGTGAAAAATTGATTCGGCAACAGTTATTTCAGAACGGGGTTAGATTTGAGTAAGGTGCCCACGGTGGCAGTACTAATTTTCTAACTCGAGTGTCTAATTTTATGCCACCTTATGAACTTTGACTTATTTTTAACTACACAAGAAGTCAACACTACACAAGAAGTCAACAGACACATAACTAGCCAGAAATAAAACAGCCACCTAACTAAACTACACAAGATGTTAACAGCCACCTAAATACACTACACAAGAAGGCAACATCCACCTAAATACACTACACAAGAAGGCAACAGCCACCTAAATACACTACACAAGAAGGCAACAGAAACATAACTACACTACACAAGAAGGCAACAGCCACCTAAATACACTACACAAGAAGGCAACAGCCACCTAAATACACTACACAAGAAGGCAACAGAAACATAACTACACTACACAAGAAGGCAACATCCACCTAAATACACTACACAAGAAGGCAACAGCCACCTAAATACACTACACAAGAAGGCAACAGAAACATAACTACACTACACAAGAAGGCAACATCCACCTAAATACACTACACAAGAAGGCAACAGCCACCTAAATACACTACACAAGAAGGCAACAGACACATAACTACACTACACAAGAAGGCAACAGCCACCTAAATACACTACACAAGAAGGCAACAGCCACCTAAATACACTAAACCAAGAAGACTACAGTCACCTCATCTTCATCATCATGTCATCGAAGGAGTCCACAACGAACAAGATGGGCTGGAAGTCGTCGTCCGTGTACTCCTGCACGGCTGTGACGGCCGGGTCAAACTGCCGGACGTCCGGCGCCCCACTCAGGCTGTTCTGTAGCTCCCCGTAGGACGAGAGCATCCCAGCCCCGTAGGCCCGGAGCTCTCCGTTTTGTTTGCACAGGCCGAACTCCACGGTAAACCAGAACAGCTGGGGACACAGTACACACTTCATATGGGGCTAGGGGACACACTACACACTTCATGTGGGGCTAGGGGACATACTTCATGTGGGGCTAGGGAACACAGTACACACTTTATGTGGGGCTAGGGAACACAGTACACACTTTATGTGGGGCTAGGGGACACAGTACACACTTCATATGGGGCTAGGGGACACAGTACACACTTCATATGGGGCTAGGGGACACAGTACACACTTCATATGGGGCTAGGGGACACACTACACACTTCATGTGGGGTAGGGGACACAGTACACACTTCATATGGAGCTAGGGGACACACTACACACTACACATGTCTTGGTGACACAATGCACACACTACACACGTGTATTACAGAGTGTACTTTACACACTGGGGACACAGTAGACACTCACTAGACACATGAAGGGACGGCGTGGTTGAATGGTAGAGCATTTAGCTGCTAGCCCGAAGATCTCGAATTCGGATCTTGGTTCGGACTTGTGACTATAGGACTTCCTAGAGTCCACCCAGCCCTAATAGGTACCTGACGTACGTTGGGCAAAAAAAAGGCGGCAGGGCTGAGCATAATGCTGAGCACACTATCCGTTCACACATAGTTCACTCACCGTGGCGAACTTCTCAATGTCCTCGTCAGACACGCCAAGTGACGCGAGGCCGAGCTCCTGGGCGAACTGGGCGAACTTGGGGTCAGCCAGCATCGGCACGTGACCTAGCAGCTCGTGTATGCAGTCCCTGGGGACGGACGTGAGTTTGAGACACACACAAGTGGCGGTTTTAAAACAGCACTCAACAGAAATATTGGCACTCTCATGCTCAACAAACTGGCCATTATAAAACGTTATTCAAAATAAATAATGCTCAAGTGGAAGTGAAACAGTACAGAAATATTGTGTTGATACGTCATGAAATGGGCCCGACAACTAGCAAGAAAATATTTAAGTTTTCATGTGTAGAGAACTTCAAATATTTCCCTAATAGTTGAGCCTGGTACAGTTTGATTACTGGCTGTTGTCAACATTCATCTCAAATCTGTACCGACCGCTAAGGTCCATTGGGTTATTTTAAGTTGGTGCTGTAAGTTTACAGACATAATAGGATGTCATTAAGTTGGTGCTGTAAGTTTACAGACATAATAGGATGTCTAATATTAAACAGAACAAATATCGCGGGATGAGTTGGACCAATATATCTGGGCCATCTCATGGCCTAGTGTTAAATAACAGTGGCCCGTTGTAAACTAACCGAGGCCATATTCACCGAACCAAAGATGGCCCAGGTGGCCAAAGTTGGCCCAGGTGGCCAAAGTTGGCCCAGGTGACCAAAGTTGGCCCAGATGACCAAAGTTGGCCCAGGTGGCCAAAGTTGGCCCAGATGACCAAAGTTTGCCCAGATTACCAATGATGGTCATGGATGGCCCAGATGACCAATGATGGCCAATGTGTACTCACGGCTCTGGAGAGTGGTCAGGCTTGGCTCCGTGCCTCACGTACTGGGTACACTGGAAAGTTCTGAAGGCCAAGGACGCCAGGAAGTCACGTGCCGACAACAAGCCGGCAACCGGTCGCAGCTGAAAACCGGTTTTACCTGTTTAAATTGTGAGGAGAGGCTTAGAGTTGTCATGACAACAGGTCTAATCCTAATGAGTCACGTGTGTAAGTCTATGGTAATGTGAAGGTATAAAGTTAGTAAAGGTAATATCAACAGCCTAGCCAAGCACTAATGCTTACCTCACACACGGACTTAACACTAAATCTGACACAAAAAGTTAACAAACAGTACTCACAGAATGTTAAAAAAAAAACGTACACACATAATGTTAAAAAGAACTGTAGCCACAGAATGTTAACAAAGAGTACCCACAGAATGTTAACAAACATTACCTACAGAATGTTAACAAAAACAGTACCCACAGAATGTTAAAAAACAGTACTTACAGAATGTTAACAAACAGTACCCCCAGAATGTTAACAAACTGTACCCCCAGAATGTTAACAAACCGTACCCCCAGAATGTTAACAAACAGTAATAACAGAATGTTAACAAACAGTACCCCCAGAATGTTAACAAACAGTAATCACAAAAGGTTAACAAAGAGTAATCACAAAATGTTAACATAGAGTACCCACAGAATGTTAACAAAGAGTACCCACAGAATGTTAACAAAGAGTACCCACAGAATGTTAACAAAGAGTACCCACAGAATGTTAACAAAGAGTACCCACAGAATGTTAACAAACAGTCCCCACAGAATGTTAACAAACAGTCCCCACAGAATGTTAACAAACAGTCCCCCACAGAATGTTAACAAACAGTCCCCACAGAATGTTAACAAAAACAGCGCTCACAGAATGTTAACAAAAAGTACCCACAGATTGTTAACAAAGAGTACCCACAAAATGTTAACAAACAGTACCCACATAATGTTAACAAAGAGTACCCACATAATGTTAACAAAGAGTACCCACAGAATGTTAACAAAGAGTACTCACATGTTAACAAAGAGTACCCACATAATGTTAACAAAGAGTACCCACAGAATGTTAACAAACAGCAACAACAGAATGTTAACAAACAGTACTCACAGAATGTTAACAAAGAGTACCCCTAGAATGTTAACAAAGAGTACTCACAGATTGTTAACAAAGAGTACCCACAGAATGTTAACAAACAGTACCCCCAGAATGTTAACAAAGAGTACTCACGTTTAAGAAAGTTTGAGACGTCCTCCAGCTGTGGTATCTTCTCCTCACAGAACCCGCCCTCCGCCTCCAGCAGCCTGAAGACGTTGATGTGTTCCTGGCAGGCGTGGGTGGGGAACAGGTTCTTCAGGTTCCGGTACACGTGCGCCCTGCGGGTCACGTGACACGTCAGGTGGGGAAGGTCTGTTGTACTCGCTCAGACGTGTGCACAAAGATTCACCCACACAAACACCCGCACACCAACCCCAGGGTTTCTTTCACCCCCACCCTCATCTGGAACACCTACACCTCCGCACCACACCCCAAAAACGAATTTTTAAAAAAGAAATTTAGAAGAATATATTTTAAATATTAATTTCTGTCTGCCCCGCCGGAAATTTCGAGCCCCCCCCCCACCCCCTCATCATCTTCAAGTGTCCCCTGCCCCCCCCCCCTCCCCCAAATGTCCGAATGAAACCCTGAACCTACCACGTGGCGTTTTCTTCTGTCGTGTACTCTACTCTCGGGATCTCCTGCCCGCTGAACACAAAAATAACCTCGGGTTAGTTTTCACAAATCTTATTTGGCACTTTTTATTCAATCATTTTAAAATCTAGATCTAGATCTATTACAAATGTACACAATTTTTAAAAAATTAAATATTATTACGAATTTCACAATATTTTTCAAATATACACTATCAATTTTTATTAAAGTATTTGAAAGAAAAAACTTAATTTTAACAATTATCATTTCCATATTATATTTTTGAACATTCAGATCATTAAACCAATATTTGCAACTATTTTTACTCAGGTAAAGTGGTACAATATTTCTATTGCTAAATTCCTCGAAGCAAAATCAATACGCGCCCTCGGCGTACGAAGCGGCAACTCCGCCTTGAGATTAACGAGTGCCTTTATTTCTTCAAGATTTATTGACATAACCCCATTGTTAAATAAAGTCTTAAAATTGCATCTTCGCGTCCTGACTCGATTATCGAAAACAGGTCATGCCACGTGCAATATAGCTGCGAGTAATAGATTTCAGGGCCGGTTACTCCATACGAAATTGAAATAGAAAGAGATTGATTACCTCTGAAAGCTATTAAGTTTTAAGCGTTTTGCAACAGTTTAACGCACGCTAAAAATGTAAGCATTACTTACTATCTGTAACCAAAAGCTATGTCGGCGATCTCTTTTCTACGTAGTCGGTAGTTCTTGTCAGCAAAACCCTGTCCAACAAGTGAATTCATAGATGTCATTGATATGTATACAAACATGTACTAGAATTTTTTAGTTTCTAGATACATGACTTAATTAATAGTATCCCTGTGAGCAAGGGTTTAAAGGTGGAATGGTGTTGTAGTTGGTATTTGGTTTGTGGGGTTATGTTGTGGTTGAGATGTTCGATACTTTCAGGTTGGTGTGTGGGATGGTTTGTGGTCAGCCATCGCGGGGTGTGTGGGTTGGTGTTCTAGTTGATGTGTAGCAGAGCCCCCCCCTCCCCCCGAAGAGATGCCTGGAAGAAACTCTGGTGGGACGGTGTGTGATCAGAACTCCCGGTTGTCTGTGGTGGTGTGTGGGGTGGTGTGTAGTGTGGTGTGTGGTCATCACTCCGGTTGTGTTGGGTGGTGTGTGGTATGGTGTGGTGTGGTCATCACTCACGGGGTGTGGGGTGGTGTGTGGGGTGGTGTGTGGGGTGGTGTGTGGGGTGGTGTGGGGTGGTGTGTGGGGTGGTGTGTGGGGTGGTGTGGGGTGTTGTTTGTGGGATGGTGTGTGGTCATCACTCACAGGGTGTGTGTAGTCCAGGTCAGGCTCAAACTTTGTGATCAGGTGCGTGCACTGGTCCAGTTCAGAGATGTGCTTGGGGAACCAGGCGTCTGGGGGTGAAGTAGATCAGACGTTAGCTGCAGCAATACAGACATTAGCTGCAGCAATACAGACGTTAGCTGCAGCAATACAGACGTTAGCTGCAGCAATACAGACGTTAGCTGCAGCAATACAGACGTTAGCTGCAGCAATACAGACGTTAGCTGCAGCAATACAGACGTTAGCTGCAGCAATACAGACGTTAGCTGCAGCGATACAGACGTTAGCTGCAGCAATACAGACATTAGCTGCAGCAATACAGACGTTAGCTGCAGCAATACAGACGTTAGCTGTAGCAATACAGACACGGACAGCAGCTCCCCTATATAAGTTAAAGCAACACAAACACTAGCATGTATTTGCAGCAGCATAACCATCGTTGAGACGATACAGAAATTTGCTACAACAATACAAGATAACTTCAGCCATACGATTATTAGCTGCGATATGGCAGATATTAATTGTAGCCATATAAACATTATCTACATAGAATCTAGAGACAAATATCTGCATCAATGCAAACATGAATTTCAGCAATTAAAAAAATAGACGATGAAGCTGAAATATGGATGATTTAAAACACAAAAATGGACCAGAATAATTTGGACCTTTTTTCTCGGGTTCCTTCTCCTCCAACAACTTGAGGTCAAGGATGAGCGGGCTCTGTTTGGCAGACGAGCAGACGTTGTCGAACGTGTCGTGTGCACAGACCAGCTGCAGGAAGAGCTGGTACTGCTTGAGGTCAGAGGGCGACTTACGGGACTCGATGTGAGTGATGAAAACCTTGCCATTCTGTGGACAAGATGTGAGTGATGAAAACCTTCCCATTCTGTGGACAAGATGTGAGTGATGAAAACCTTGCCATTCTGTGAACAAGATGTGAGTGATGAAAACCTTGCCATTCTGTGGACAAGATGTGAGTGATGAAAACCTTGCCATTCTGTGGACAAGATGTGAGTGATGAAAACCTTGCCATTCTGTGGACAAGATGTGAGTGATGAAAACCTTGCCATTCTGTGGACAAGATGTGAGTGATGAAAACCTTCCCATTCTGTGGAGGAGATGTGAGTGATGAAAACCTTGCCATTCTGTGGACAAGATGTGAGTGATGAAAACCTTGCCATTCTGTGGACAAGATGTGAGTGATGAAAACTTTGCCATTCTGTGGACAAGATGTGAGTGATGAAAACCTTGCCATTCTGTGGACAAGATGTGAGTGATGAAAACCTTGCCATTCTGTGGACTCGATGTGAGTGATGAAAACCTTGCCATTCTGTGGACAAGATGTGAGTGATGAAAACTTTGCCATTCTGTGGACAAGATGTGAGTGATGAAAACCTTGCCATTCTGTGAACAAGATGTGAGTGATGAAAACCTTGCCATTCTGTGGACTCGATGTGAGTGATGAAAACCTTGCCATTCTGTGAACAAGATGTGAGTGATGAAAACCTTGCCATTCTGTGGACAAGATGTGAGTGATGAAAACCTTGCCATTCTGTGGACAAGATGTGAGTGATGAAAACCTTGCCATTCTGTGAACAAGATGTGAGTGATGAAAACCTTGCCATTCTGTGGACAAGATGATGAAAACCTTGCCATTCTGTGGACTCGATGTGAGTGATGAAAACCTTCCCATTCTGTGGACAAGATGTGAGTGATGAAAACATTGCCATTCTGTGGACAAGATGTGAGTGATGAAAACCTTGCCATTCTGTGGACAAGATGTGAGTGATGAAAACCTTGCCATTCTGTGGACAAGATGTGAGTGATGAAAACCTTGCCATTCTGTGGACAAGATGTGAGTGATGAAAACCTTGCCATTCTGTGGACAAGATGTGAGTGATGAAAACCTTGCCATTCTGTGGACAAGATGATGAAAACCTTGCCATTCTGTGGACAAGATGTGAGTGATGAAAACTTTGCCATTCTGTGGACAAGATGTGAGTGATGAAAACCTTCCCATTCTGTGGACAAGATGTGAGTGATGAAAACCTTGCCATTCTGTGGAGAAGATGTGAGTAATGAAAACCTTGCCATTCTGTGGACAAGATGTGAGTGATGAAAACCTTGCCATTCTGTGGACAAGATGTGAGTGATGAAAACCTTGCCATTCTGTGGACAAGATGTGAGTGATGAAAACCTTGCCATTCTGTGGACAAGATGTGAGTGATTGTGAGGGTGGGGATTTTTATGAAGGCGGAACGAATGAATCCAATAACACACCGTTCAAGTTCAACTATAACGTTCTTTATTAAAATGATATATATGTTCAAGTTTCTACCTAACTGATCTACACTGTACTATTTACTTCTACTACTGACTGTTCATACCACATGCTACCTACTACTACGCACTCCCATGACCAATCCTAACACTAACTACATTCTAACTGTTCTCTAGCTCTACATATTACGACCGTCTCTGACCGCTTCCTAACACCTTCTCTACTCCTCGCTATCTACCTATCAACTCCTGGCCTATCGCTCTACTGCCCCACGCCTCAGTGGTCAGCTGACCGTCCCACGTGACCGGTCAGCCCTGTGCGCCCATTGGCCTCTCTACCCAACCAACTAGGCCTATAGTCTGTTTCTGCTAACCTATATCTGCTAAACATGTCTGACGTAATCTTGCGTCATCACATATCTCCCTCCCTTTCTGTAGCTGACAAATTATATTTTTCAGCGTCTACTACTAATCTAATACATCAACAACTATCTATCTTACTACTCTATTCTATCCCTAACATCAATCATGTAAATCAAATACAAAATGGGACAGCACAGTTTACAAAAACATAAAATCTTGTGTCTGTGTTCCTGAATTTAAAAAATGTCATTGTTCTAGTTCTTGTGTAAGTATCTAGACGTCTGTGGTGTCTCTGCTTGATAATGTATGTCTATGTTATGGTATGTGTGAATCCAATCATGTGCAACTCAGTTCTGGCTAGGTTGTCGTGTACTGGCCTTGAGCTAATCTTAGTTAGTAGAATGTGTAACTGGTTGAACGGCTCAGCGAGCAGTGTAAGTGTTTGTGTAAGTGTTATGTAATTGTTGGCGTTCCTCTGAGGTGGGTGGGTTGTGGCGAGTTTTGATGTAAATTCCCGTGAGGCGGGTGTAGGCGTAACTTCGTTGGTCAATGTGATGACGCAACAATCTCAACGCTGGTTGAGACGTCCACGTGGAGTGGTTATACGATGAACTGGAGCTGTCTGATGCGTGGCGAACAATGACGTAACATTCCGACGCTGGGAACTTGGACGATGGGTCGTCTACCCTTTGTATGTGCTGACGCAGGTGTACGTAGCTGGCGGTCTGTTATTCAATCCCAGTGCGGGGGCGAAGCGGTGGCGATGCGTCCGCTGTCTTGACAAGGGCAATTCACTGTCCAGCAGGCTGTTCGCTGTCCAGGTAATTCAACGTAATCAGGGCTTTTGGTGGCGGCACTCTTTGAAGTGTGTCCCTCATCTCGTCTCATTCTGGATAATCGTAGTGGGTCTGAAAATTGTATTACGAGACGATGAGCAATGGTTTTATGTGACCAATTTAGTGCCCGCGCAGACAAGTATTCAGACAGAGGTACCTTCCATTAAAAAAAACCTCAATCCCAAATTTATACGTGCTGAACATTTGTCTGGCGGCATAACAAGATATAAAAATAACGTTACAAATATAACATTACAACATAACCAAATAAAAAAATCAGTACACTCTAATCTAACAACAATCTGTAAAGCCTATAATAAACACAATAGACGTAAACACTACTAGAGCATAGAAATAGCTTCACAAAAAGAATAGACATGTAAGTGTATATCAATACTATAGTGCCGTTTCAAATCAACATTTGAATGCGTAATCATATAGTGGAGCAGCTCTCACTATCTGACTTCTGACTTGACTTAAACTGGCTGGTTGACTTAATGACTGACTTCACTTATGACTTCAGTAACGTGACTTATTTCACTTTGACTGACTTCAGTAATTTCACTTATTTCACTTTGACTTCAGTAACGTGACTGACTTCAATTTAACGACTGATTCCACTTTGACGACTTCAATTACTTCAACTTGACGACTAACTTCACTTTGACAACTAAATCGACTGACTTCATAGACCTCTGACTGGCTTCGACTTCTCTTTGACTTCAACAACTTCAATATGACTTCAAAGACTTCACTATGACTTCAACGACTTCAATATTACTTCAACGACTGACTTAGAGTAACCTTACTTCAACTTCAAAGACTTTAACTTTGACTTCAAAGATTTCAACGACATCACTTTGATTTCCAAGACTTCACTATAACTTCGACGATTTCACTTCTTCACTATGACCTCAACGACTTTACAACTTCAACGACTTTTATTTGACTGCAACATGACTTCAACTACGTCACTATGACCTCAACTACGACTTCAACAACTTATTGACTGACTTCAAATAACTTCTTTGACTTCAGTTCTGACTAATACTTCACTGACTTCAATAACACTATTGACTTCAGATTTTGACTACACTGACTTCTGACTGTACGACTTCACGTCGATTTCCTCGACTACTTAGATTAACAAAAAAACACTCGACTTGACTTCACTTTTGTCAGGCGTTCAAAATCATTCATGGGGGCGGTCCGGGTCAAATTATATCCAGGCATTAATATACCACACTAGGACCGATAGGGCGGGGCTCGGTGTGGACAAAAGTGTTGCGAGCCTTCACATGGTCTATGATTACTATACTTGTGTTTGTGTAGGTGTGTTGATGGGGTCATCTGGTTTAAGGCTGACCAGGAGTAACCGTGCTCTCTGTCTGCTATCAAATTCCTTGTTACATATTCCTCTGATTTATTGTTTACCGATTTCTCCAATCTCAGCAATCTATTACTGACTGTGTCGTTCTGCAGTCTTAAGTTAAGAACATCTGCACCAATCTCGGTAATCTTTATAGAATGATCCTCAATAACCTCGTTAACTTTTTCTATCAACTTGTCCGTTTTGAATTGCAATTCGTCTACTTTTTCGTTGTCTCGAATACTGGGCTGCTTGTTTACTTGTCGCTTGTAGTTCATAAATTCTACATTAAATTGCTTCACTCCTGTAATGTTGCCTAGTATCATATCGTATGGCCCGTTTTTGAAAACCACTGCTTCAACTGTTTTACACGCTGAGGGTGTGGCTATGGTGACTATAGCTGTTGGCCAATCATATGTGCTGCCTCTTGAACTGTGAACACGTTGTGTTCTGCCTGTGTATTGATGGTGTTGCACGAATGTGTTACGTACTGCCACTGTGGAGCATAGTGTATCCATAATAGATGTGGCGTATCTGTTATTGACTTTTGATGTAAATATGTCTGTTCTTCTACTGGCTTCTGTAAACGATGACATGAATGCTATTCTATTAATTTGTCTATATTGTGTTCTGTTGCGTTGTGCATCTTGTTGGCGTATATCATAATATCGTATTCTGCAATTTATTTGTTTGTGGCCTGTTCTATTACAATAGTAGCATCTGACACTGTAATTGTGTTTTTGTTGACTGTAGTTAATCTGAATGTTGTGATTTGCGCTATTATGTTTTTGGAGTGTATGTGGTGTTTCACTTTTTGTAGTAGGTATTTCGCTTGCTTCACTGAACGTGTCATCTGAATCTGAGTCGTAGGAATAGTAAAATGTTGTTTGGGCTATCTGGTTGTTTTTATTTTTATCTAAACTTTGCACCATTTCTTGTTTGGCTTGGCGAAGTTCTCTCATTTTTTCTATTTCTTTACGAATTCTTTCTGTTTCTTCTTT